CAATTTCTGAAAAACAGTTTTCCACCTCAGGAAAGATCCTATCTCCAAGAAATAAGTTATCATTGTTTTGTCTTTTACACATAGCATTAAGTTCACAGTTCTCTTGACTAATTTCCCAAATTTTAATATGTATGAATATTCTCACTCATCCAGGTCATGGTTATCCCAAAGGTGCTTTTTCAAGAGGAAACCAGACTTTGTGTTGTTTTTTTGAAGACATTTTGCTTCTCACCCAAGAAGCTTCTTCAGTTCTGATTGAATTCTGGAGGATGGAAGGATTTATATTCCTTGCAGTCATCTGGTTGTTAACACTCTGAGAATCGTTGAGGCCACTTGGAGGTTTATCTGTTTACAACAAAGTCCTTTTGGCAGTTCCAAGATTCCACACCCATTTGCACTATTCAGATGACCCTGGGAACACAGATAAGCCTCCAAGTGGTCTCAATGACTCTCAGAAAGAGTGCTAACAACCAGATGACTGCAAGAAATATAAATCCTTCCATCCTCCAGCGTTCAGTCAGAACTGAAGAAGCTTCATAGATGAGAAGCAAAACATCTTCAAGAAAAAAGGAAGTCTAGTTGCCTTTTGAAAAAGCACTTTTGGGCCAAACTTAAATAGCTTTCCTGATATGTTAATTCCTACCCAGGCCAAACTATTATCCATGATGGCTGATAATTTCAGATTTTTATTCCAATGGGTCTGGAGAGCATCACATTGGGGAAAACTGATCTACAAGATACTGCAAGTGTCCCATGGGATGGTGTGTTTTCTTCTCCTTCCTCTTTTTCTCACACAAATTTCCCCTTCCTTCCCCCTTGCAGCATGAATGCTGGTTGAGAAACATTTTTACTGAAAGAGTAATACTTACTGAAAGTTGACTGTCAAAGTCAACCATGAGTGGATTACTTTTGCTATAATGCTAATGAATACTTGGGAGTGGGGAAAGTTGTGTAACACAGAGACTTCTTCAGATCTCATAATGGTGGTGAAGCACTCAGGAAACAATATATCTAAAAATAACCTTTCTAGTATCAGACTTCTGCCATAATTAATACTAGTCAGTCACTATTGATTACAGCAGCACATTAAAAAAAGATTTAGGATCTTCATTATTCTGATTGGCCCTCTCCTACACACCACAGAATTTACCACTTTAAAAACAGGAAATGCATGCTCTTCATCTAAAAATGGAATGGGCATCCTGTACTCCCCTTTCAGAAATTGGCAGTGTGTTTCTAGGGTAGGAGTTGAGCACCCAGAATTTTCCCCAACCAGATGTTCCTCAGATGAGTGGGTGGGTCTCTAGAGCTGGACAATATATTTAATTTAGGCTTTGGTGTGATGAAGTGTTCAACTTCTTCTTTGAAAGATAACTTTGAACTTTTTCACAGAGTGGTGTGAGCAACATAAAGAAGAAATTGCATCATACCTCAGATATGAGGTCACAAGTTTTCTCTAATAGATTTTCCTGAAACTGAAACAACCACCCTTTGATTAGCTCCTATAACTGTGATGACAAGAGAAAAGGACCGGATCTTAGTGATGGAAAATAAACATCTGTTTAGTGAAAGATATAACCCTGATGCATTTGTGCGGTAAACTACCACTTAAAAGGAACTAGTTCAATTACTGTTTTTTCTTTTCAGAAATTCTGGAAACTATAGTTTGGAAAAGAGACATACGGAATATCTACAGAACTCTTGCCAACTCATAAATTCTCAGGATTTTTTTTATGAAAGCAACAATAATTAGAATAGTATTAAAGCAGGAAAAGTGGATAGAATGGATAACAATAGGGTTCCACTGAATACTTCTAATTTCCCCAGAAACAGTCAATCATCCAAGAGTAAGAATCATATGAAATTGTCTGTCAGACCTGGAAGCCATCAGACCTGCCAGAGATTCTACTGTGGGAAAATGGGAGGGAGGGATTGTATAGAGTGAAGAAAATATGTAGTCAAAACAGAATTCTTTTAGAAAGTCAAGGCCATTGTGCACAGCTGCTCAGCTGTGCTAAGAAGAATGAGGAAGTATCTTCTGTTCTGGACGATTCCTGATTGGTTCATGTGATGGACATGTGGGTGAGGGGCAAGGACTTGAACTTTCTTTTGGGTGAGGAAAACCCGGAAGTTCTCAGATTTTCCCAAATGTGCCAATATGACATCTCTAATAAAAGTTAGCTTTGAGCCTCGGAGTTGGGGGTATTACTTGGAACCCTGACATTGTCCTTTATGAAGCAATTCTGCTTCCATTATCAGGTCCCTGAAATATATATTTCACAGCCACAATTATTATTCCTATGATAATGAGGATCTAGGTTTTGTCAAAAAGGGGAACATCATGACTTTTATTCAAATAATTTACTGGGTTCTTATTTATGTAAAATACTTGCATTTTAGTTCCTAAGTACATGTTTTGGTTTGGATATTAGAACACTTAATACCCTTACCACAATTCTGGAAATGGTATTTGGTGGATATTGGAGTCAGATTTACTAAAGTCTGGTTTTGTGGAACTAACATTCTAAAACTTCCCTCAGGCAGTATGATAGTGAGCCAAAGTAGACGTATGATAAGAAATCACACACTTTTTAGCTATTTTTAACTGATTTGATATAAATGGGTATGTTTTCTTTCTCTGTCACTTGCTACCAATGGAAATAGATCAATATTTCTGTTGATAACACTGGGCAATATGACTTTATTCAAATACTTTGGATCGCCACTTCTATACTCTGAACCACTAGCGATCTTGTCTGGGACCTATGGATTGCTTCCCAGTGTATACAGGAAACTATTGAAGACTTGACTGTTCTCCTAGGCTTTGGGTCAAGGTGTGTGTGTGTGTGTGTTGTGTCTTTGCTTGCTTTAAGTCGCTTGTGGTCCCTTGTTTTTTGTGGGGGTTTTTTTGTTGCTTGTTAATTGTAAACTGTCCAGAATTGTCATCCAGCAGCCTTTAAATTGTACAAATAAAATAAAATCAACAGCCAAGGATCACAGCCTGAAATAAGAAATGATCAGAATGTAAAATGAATAACTGCTTTACCATCAGCCAGTGAATCAGTGAACTATAAACCAATGGATTTAGGCAGGAGTGTTTTGAGAAAGATTTAAATACTATTTAACAGTAACAAGGAGTATGAGTTCCCTGTCACTACAGCATTGTAAAGCAAGAAGCAGTATCTCCTGTCTCTGCAATTAGGGTACTGAAAATCAGGCCTTGCTTCTTAAAGCCAGCTCTGGTTTTCCACTGGCATCAATTTCAGGTTGTAGAAAGGCATATTCAACTTTAGCAATCTATGAGCACCCGTAGCTGCTAAGAAACCCTTACCAGTCTGAAGACGACCACATTTCTCTGCTAAGGCAACATTTTTCCAACATATTTACTAGGAGGTTAAACACCACTGAATAGAATTACAATTAGGGCTTGATAATAATAATAATAATATTTACAATTAATAATTGCATTACTAGTTTTCCCGATATAAACATTGTGCAGAAGTCCTGCATCATGGGTGCAGAAGTATATCAAAAGCAAAATTTATCAAGGATGATAAGGTAAGGGCATGAATGATGAAGTATATTCAGGACCCCACAGTGCTTCCCAAGGGAAAAAAACAGTGCAGATACTCAAACGATTCAGAAAATTCAATGAAAATACAATTAACTTTAAATTTTGAACTGTAAGGAAACAAACTCACTATTCATGTAATAGACTGTTTTTAAAGTGGGTTTTTAAGGGTTTAAAGTAGTTTTATTATTATTATTATTGTAATACCTTAAAAAAACTACTTTAAACCTTTAAAAACCCACTTTAAAAACAATCTATTACATGTAGCAAGCAAAAGGAGAACCTGTATGTATGCAGGAAAATAAGTTGTACAGTATTAAGAAAAAAAGGAAAGATTATTTGGAAAGGCACTGCCAAGAAAAGAATTCAAGTCAAAGGCAATTAACTATAAAGGCACAAAAACAAAGGTGTGAAAATAAGAAGAATTTTCAGCTGCAATCTTATTTCCTAAAAAGCCTGTTTTATGTCTCTTGGAAATCCGGAAAGAAATTAGAATGTGGACTGTGGCTGTTAAATCAAGCACAGTTAGGTTTGGATAAGTGGGCGCTATACTTCCACCATACACCCAGAGAAGCCATGGGTATCCATGGGAGAAGCAGATAGGGAAAATAGAATTGAAATTCTCTCCTTGTCAGTTATTTTTGTATTTGGCTCTTTTCATTCATTCATTCATTCATTCATTCATTCATTCATTCATTCATTCATTCATTCAATCAATCAATCAATCAATCAATCAATCAATCAATCCAACTGATAATCTCACATTTGTGATTCTGAGTTGGTCCTAGGATTAAATTCAACCAAATAACACAACCAATAAATAAAATTTAAAAAAATCACTAAAAATACAATAGACCCCTTTGCTTCCCCACTAAACTCTTCAAACTACTTGGAAGGATGCGGGTTTGTGTATTCTTCAGGAAGTGTTACTTCAACTTAATAGCTGTGCTATTCTTTTCATGAACCTATTGTTCTTTCATATGTTCTGTGGCACATCTTGCATACTAGCTATTCCCTGACAATGAGATTGGGAGAAAATAAGGGGAAGGAGAGAGACCATTTCCTGTGGTCCAATGTGTTTAGATACCAGAGTTACGTAGAAAATATTAGAACATATAACAAGCAACCTTTTAACAGTGGAATAAACTGCCATGGAAAGTGACCAATTCTCCTTCATGAGGAGTTTTCAAAGCAAACTCAGGATGCTAAATTAAAACCTCCCGTGCCACATCATTTTCACTTCCCAATTGTCAGAAACAGTTTCAAACCAACTTGCAGTTGTTCTCACACTGCTGACCTTGAGAAGTCAGAAAATAGCAAAGATCACTCGTTCACAAGCTCTGCCCTCTGGTGCTGTGGGTCCTGCTGCTAAAAACAATCGGTCAATTCCACTCCACAGAAAAGAGAAATGAAAACAACTGCTAGTAACCACCATTCATGTCCTTACTTTATGTTGTGTACATTTGTTTGGTCATGTGTAAAGAATCTTGCCAGAACTGCTGCAAAATTGTCCAGTCACCATCAGAGAAGAAGACAAAGGAATGTGAGAAGGAGTTTCTTCCCAGAAGAAATGGGCTCCATGGGTTTCATAGGGTTACAGCATTTAAAAGGGTCTTCAAAGAAAATGCTAGCTTTGTTGCAATTTCAACTCCATTGTGGTGCAGCTGGAAATATATGTAAGTTGATAATCATTGCAGAGAATCATACATTGAAGCATGAAGATATGCTTTCCAACCCTCATATGCCGCACAATATGTTCCTAAAAACAATCCTAAAGCTATATCCAAAAATACGGTAATCAGGTTTTCACAAAACTTGAGGAGTTTGTCACCAAAGAAAATGGAAGAAAGAAAAACAGACAGGGAATCAGAGTGCTGGGAAGTAAAAGCAGTCCCTGTCTTTGATTACAGATTGTCATATCTATGATCCTTTTGGTTTCAAGCCGTCTTCCCCATTTCCTATGATGGCCACCAAATCCTCTATTACTATAAGGACCGTACATCATGGTTAGGCCTGAACTGAAGTTAAAATATTTCGTATTCTAGCAATTCCAGCACACAATATTTCCTATTCCATGGTGAGTATGGAATGCATAGTAGAAACACTCTGAAGATATCCTGCTTAGCTGAAAATGGCTCCCATAAGGCTACAGTTTGTGGTTTTTAAACATCAACATTGATTCTTGATGGTTGGAGGACTCCAGGTTAACACTAGATGTAGCATATGCTGCTCTAAGAATGTGTGTAGTCATGCAACATGATGGCCAAAATGACAATAGTGGATGGTCTTTAAATCTTCTCATTCTTTCAGGTTTCTCAGGAGGAAGCCTTATCTTGGCAAGGGACCAAGGAGGGCTTCATGTCTGGGAATCAACCCAAAGTTTAAAGCACAGTGTAACAAGGGACAGATTTTCTCATGGTTCCTCAACACTTCACTCAGATGTTTCACTTCATCTGTCAGCTTTCCAATCTCCCTTTTCAGAGAAGTATTCTCTTGTTCAAGGCATTCATATTCCTGAAATAATTGATAAAAATAAGCAGATCAAGCATGCAAGCAAGAATCCATGATTATTTATTGTTTTTGCTAAACTATTCTTCATGAAGTACTTAAATTCTCAAAAGGAAGTTTAAAAATAATCAAAAAGACAATTAAAATGGTGGAATTATCTGAAAAATATATTTACTTTGAAAAGTACATAGCTCCTAACTTATTTTCTTCTCAACCTAATTTACATAAGACATTTTTTCCCAGCGGGAAATTAGTGTATCTTAATTTTACCTACCTAAGGTATAATTTATTTATATTGTGCTATTTAAAATATTTCTATAGGAAATTACCAAACTAATATCTAAGTAGCAGTATAGAGCAAAATCAAATAGAGTAAATCATACAGTGGATATTTTTTTCCAAGACTTTTAACATAATTTGTATCATAAATATTAATAAAATCAACAGAAGTCCTCTCAGAAGACCTCAGCAGAGACAAATGCTTTTATCTGTTCTCAGAAGTGGAACCATGTGGTTGGACAATCCAAAGAGGAGGAGCCTAGCTGGGAAAGTCCTTTATTGGTCAGTATCTAGAGAAGGAGCTCCCATAAAGGATATCTCCCTTCATTATCTTTAGCATCCAATAAAGGGAATAGCTTTGGCTGTTCTTTTCAACTGCACTTATAACTTATCATTTTATCAGTGTAAACAAGGGGTGTAAAATATGAGATTTCTGATTTCACATTGCTTGCTGTAAAAGTTGCCACTCAATTGTACATTTTAATTAAACAATGGTAGAAATCACAAAATATATGGAGAACAATTTTACAGATAATTAAACTAAATTGGTTTTACTTACACCTCAACATAAATTACAGTAAATCAGATCAAATTCTGCTTTTGTTTTGTTCTCTATATTTGGAGGGGGCACTTGGCCATTACCTGGATTTCCCTGGGTTTTGTGCTGTTCCATGAGCCTCATGTGAGTTGACTGAGCCAGGTCTTCAGACTCTTTGAAAGGCTAGGAGAGTGGGGATCCTCTTCCTGAACCCCACCAGTTGAAAATCTTTAACTGACAGGGTCCAGAACATGCCTTCCTTACCTGAGTGAGACAAACTGATGTGATGGGAATGAACAAGTTCCTCAGGTAATGTGGGCCCATGAAAGAATTGCTTGGGTCCTGATGTAAACCACCAAGGGCAATTTGTAGAATTGAAAACAGGCATTAAATATGATGATAAATAAAACCTCCATATTTAGAGGCATTATGTTGTAGCTTTAAATGTCAGGGCTGTGAGGCAAATTGGGAAGAAAAACTGGCTGTAGGTTTTAACTTGGAATGACCTAGCAGGCTTTTCTGATTTATTTCTGTGGGAATATAGCACTTGAATCAGCTCTCAGCAGCACACAGGTGGTTACAGCTCAAACTGCAAAACTCAGGGATGCAAATACTGAATAGTTATTTGACATTCTCAGTCCAAAACATTTGTGAATCCAATCATGATGAAGGCTCTAAGAAGGCCCTTAATACATCATTCCAAAAGAAATGCAAAACAGAAGAGGGACACAGATGTCTTTTTTCTTTTAAAAGAAAACATGCACTAATTTACATGTTGGGATATATAGTTAAAATGACAGTAATTTAAAGAGACAGGGGAAAGATTATGACCCATCAACCTCAGAGAAAGGACTATTTCTGTGAAAATCATCTCTTGGCCATCAAATGTGGGTTTACTTCAATACTTGGGTATAGACCAAAAAAGTAGAAGGTAAATCCACTGGTTGAACACTAAACACTGGAAGTTTTAGATAAGCAAGGATTCCTGATTCTCAGTTCTTTAAGAAAAGCAGAACTAAATGTATCTCTCATAAATTATTCTGATAGAATGAAACAAAGGTGAAGATGAAACAAACTCAGAATGGATATATATGTTTTCAAGATGACAGCTCTTAGTGCAGTCCAACATCTCTTACTGTTATTCTACCTTGTCCAGCTTATTTTCCTGATAAGCAAAAAGACTGATGAACTGGAAGGAAAAGACAGAATTCCAAATCATAGATATGGATTCATGCACCTCGCTAAACCATTATATACTTAGGCAGGATTTATAGCAAGAAAGTGAAACTTGCCACGCTAAGGATATCTTTGAGAGACACTTGGGGGACTACCCTTCAGAGGTAGGTGCGGCTGGATTTAAAACATGGTCAGAGCTGAACTTTAAACATTCCAAACATGCACATGTGAACATGCACACACATATGCATATTCTTAGGGACCAGGGGTACTGGGGAAGTAGGACAGCAGAGCCAGAAAGTAAGGGGACAGAAATGTACCTTTGAGTTTTTGGAATGATGGCAGGGGTCTGTAAGAAAGCCAATGAGACATTATAGGCCATGCCTGGAAACCTGGTCATTCTGGTCTGCAGTTGTAAACATACAGTTTTCTGAGTAATCCATAGGTGGCTGAATTTGCTCAATCTTCTCATCCATAAAGAGTGGATTACAAATCACAATGAAAGGATCTGCATGCCAGGATAAACCAAAGCGACTCTCATTTGGAAACCCTAAAAAAGGACCAGATGATCCAATGACCAAAGCACGCTCAGAGCTCCTTCAATGAGCTCAATTCTCTTGCATGGGAAGGATGGGTCTTTGGCACCAGACTTCTAGCAAAAAGAGAAGTTACTTTTACAAGCAACCAATTTCCCCGTGCCTGTCTGATGTCAATTTCAATCAAAGCATGAATGAGAAGTCATCTTTTGAGTTTCAGTAAAAGAAGGGAAAGCAAGTGGGACTCAGAAAAGAATTGCTTTACAAGGCAAATGTACATCAAGTGGCTAGTTTCCCCCTTGATTTGAATGTGGCTGAAACAGAAATGCACCAATGTCCTTAACCAAAAAAAAAAAAAAAATACAAAACAAAAGCCATAGCTGCTCAGCCACCATGACCAATATATTCATTAACTGCCTTAACTTCACACATGAAGTCACAAGAATGGATGAATAATGTGCTTTCTTCCATAGAAAGGACATGTTGGACTCTGGTCCAGCACTTATTCATCATTTTACTCAGGTATATTCATAATTGCTCATATGAAAGCTTTGAAGCATTGATAACAATCTCAATCTTGGCAAACACCCTTGCTATTCTACACTTAAGCTCTATTCTTTGGAAGCCAACTTATAAGCATCAATTGTTCAATTGGAAAGGAGAACATGAAAAAATGTTGCAACGATTAAACATGCAAGAAAGTGGGGGGAAGACTTTTTTTAAAAAAAAAATCATAATAATATTACAAATTGCTTCCTCTGCCCAGTTGTCTGATGATCAGTTAGAACAAGACTGTTTGGAAGAAGTTTCTGGGCATAATAAGATATTAGAATAAGATTCCAATATCCTGATTCTGTTTGCATTGTTTAGGCTGCTATCCTAAAAATGGTCTGGACCATAACACTAAACTGTATGAAGAAGAGGATAAAAAGGCACCCACACATGGGATATTCCATATTCATAAGCTCTGACAACTGACTTCAACACGCTGATGGCAAGATAGGGGCTCATCAACACAACCTCCTTGCCCTGAGTGCCAAAATGGTGTGCTAACTGTTTGCTGAGGAAAGTGTGTATTAGATCACATAGTTTTGAAGAAAAAGATGAGCAACAGGAGACACGGTAGGAGTTTATAAAACCGTAAACCAGGGAGAGTTAAAAAAAAAGGAAGGTAAATGCTTCCTTTGTTCAATCATGTCTGACTCTATTGGGTAGTGATCATCTCCATTTCTTAGTCGAGAAAGAGGGAAAGTTAAGAGAGAAAATAACTTGATCCTGATTCAGAGCATCATAAAACTCCACTTCCTCAAATTTACAGTGTGGGTAAATCCAGACAAAGCTGTACTTTTTCATGAGCTATATCCTGTGCCTCAGGTGTTTGTGACAATCAATAGTTTAAGCATCATCAAAAAAGTGTTAATGGACGAACAACATCTAAGTATGGGTGCTCTGTGATTAGAAGCAGCGTACTGCCAATCACAGTATGTTATATGCAATCTGCAGGAGATGGTGACTTCCTTTGTGATCTTTACCTAAGCATCCGTCTAGCTCAGCCTTTCCCAGACTTGGGTAACCAGATGTTGGTGTAGGCCATGAGACTCGATCCATCTAGAGCAGGGGTGTCAAACTGGTGGCCCATGGGCCGGATGCGTCATGCTCAGGCCATGTCCACTTCAATTCCGCGAAGGGGGAAAAACATTGTGAAACGTCATGTGACAGCAATGTGACGTGGCGAGTTTGACACTCCGATCTAGAGAATGCTCACATGGAAAGGCTGCCTTTAAAGCTAAAATGTCATCACACAAACTTAAATCACTGCTCTGTTTTTAACTGAGGATGGCATTCCCTGCATCTGACAAAATGGGATTTGGTCCATAAAAGTTTATTAAACCAAGAGGATCTGCATGAAGGTTAAAAAAAGAATCTAGATGCCAAATAAAGTCCCATCATTTTTATGTTTGTTGCATATATGACACACATAAAAGAGGTGGATCTTTGAAACACACATACTCCTCCCACTGTGGATGCCTTTAATTAAGGAACTAACACTCTGTTAATTCTTAAGGTGACCTAGGACTTGTTTTGCATTTGATAATTATACCAGTTGTTGATCCTAAAGAAGACCAATGCATCAGTCACCTCATGGAGTTTATCTGCTTTCTGAGTTTGTTTCTTTCTGCTTCTCTGAGCAGCGACTCTGTTCTTCTCTCTCCGTCTTACTCGTCTTTCATCATCATCATGGCTCTGGTCAATAAAATCAGAATATACTTGTTTAGTTAATGACTTCCCTTCCCCCCCACAAAAAACACTCAGCATCCAGAAAAGTCAAAGAAGCTATATTTTGACAAACACACCACTGGCAATCTTGTGAGCCCTGATGACATATTCCAAGAGTGATTGATATTGATATTTCCTTTATATTGAGTGGAAAAGTAATTTACAGATAGTTTGTTGGTATATTGATGTAAAGATTGGTTACAAGAACTCTTGTGGCTGTATCGGGTTCAGATAGTATTTTGAGTGAAAGGTAGCTAACTCTCTTCTGCCACACAATAAGTTTGCAAGAGTTCCTAGGAAGAGGATGTGAGTGAGCCAGAATTTGCTTTCTTTTTCCTGGGAAATTTGAACTGTTGTTTTAAAAAATAAAACAGAGGGAAGGAAACCAGATCATCAAGGTTTTGGAATGTGTTAATCAGACCTGGATCCTATCTTTCCTCCAAGAAAGATAGAAAATATGCACAAAGTCTTTTATTGTATCCTCTTGTGAGGTCAGGTAAGGCTGAGTTGAGTTAGTAGTGCTGCAATAACATAGCAGGCATAATTAACTCAGTTAAAGATGCAATGGCTTGCATTTGCACAGTGTTACATTTATGAATGTTATGCAGCTTAACATGCTGTGTGAAGTGAATCTTTTTGTTTACAAACAGGCTAGTTCAATTCAAATTAAGAGTGTCGTGTGAATGAAGCCAATGCCAGTCTAATCTGTCATTACAAATAGTCAATTAAGTAAATTAAGTAATTGTTAAAAAAGAACTACCTATAACAAAATAGTCCCATTATGCTTTTTTGATCATTCTAGGAGTCCTTATGTAGAAGCACTTGAAAGTTGAGTCTAGTACAACTAGAAAATATAAAATTACTTTTGAGTAAAAAGACACTGTCTACAAACATAGCTGTTCAGCTCACTTGTTAATTAATTGGATTTACTTGCAGAAGAAGTGCATGTCCTAGCACTGTGCAATACCCTTTGCTGATCAAAGTTAATTTCATTAGAAGTAGTCATTGATACAACATTTAGGCACAAGTTCCATGTGTGCAGTCCTTGTAGACATATCTTGAGAGGTCTCTCTCTCTCTCCCTCCCTCTCTCCCTCCCTCCCTCCCCCCTCTCTCTCACATACACACACACAATTTTGAATCACAGGATATCATGTTCAGCAGCTTTGTTGTATGGTTAGAACACATCAGGATCAAGTTTGAGTTAGTGCTGTGAAAATCATTTGGTGCATGAAAGAGCCAGGTTTGAGTGGAGCATGCCTAGATGAAACATATGAATTTGGTCCTAATGTAGGACTGAAATATGCAAGTGCAACAGAGAAGCATTCGGAAAGAGAACAGGAAAAAGAAATCAAGGACATATCCCTGCTCTTCCCAATTTCTTCTTTGCCTACCTCCTTAGCTTCCACTGTTGATAGGCTTCAGGCAAAGCAGATCTAATTGCCTGCCTGCCCCATTTCTCTTAAATAATGGTAGAGAAAGAAAAGTAAAGGGGAGATCAGTAGGCAGAGTAGTGATGCCAAAAGTGGTAGAATTGAAACCTTCAGGCCTTTTAAATGGGAGAGATAGAAGTACGCTGGTTAGGAAGGAGGGAAAGGCATTTTGCTATCCAGTTTCTAATGCATGATCCCAGGAGCTTTTGGGGCAACAAATATTAGGGGAAACTGGGCTCAGAGTTTGGCATAATTAAATCTAAAGTCATGAATCAAACACAAAATGTCTAGATCATATTTGGGGTAGCAGATCAGACAAACTGCCATATGTACCGTAATGGTGTTTCTGCTCTACTAAGATGGTAAATGTTTTGCATATCCAAAGGGAAATCCCCATATGTTGAACATTCCCAATTTAACTCATGATTTTGTCCCTGTTTTATCTTTTATCTTTTATTCTTTTATCTCTCCTTGTTTCTCTGCTTCTTTTAAAAAGTTTTTTTTTAGTATGAAAAAGAGTAGAGCCATAAAGTGATGCCTAGAACATTTCAGTAACACAAGATCCATTCAAGAGACCACAACCCCAGTTAGGAGAATCATTTTAATTTACCCTTGATGGTAATAAAAGTTTTATATTTGTGAGATGGATGGATGGAAAGATAAGCAAATTCTGTATGATATAGTGGTATTTAAATTATAATGAACAACATGCAATTCTGGTTTCAGAAGCAGGCATGTGTGTTTACAGTGTAGTTTGATAAAACTGAAGTTTGAATTAGCTACATCCGATACACCAATATTCTTGTTTTATTTTATACTTTTGTTTTGAAGTCTGGGAAATTCTCATAATTCACGTGTTGCCAGTTTACAGTCTGATTTTAGTCCAACAAAATATCATCTTGTCTACATCATATCTGTGTCCTGTAAGAGCAATGCCACCATTTTTATCTATATTTAAACTGCTTGTGGAATCCAATTCAAAATATCTTGGATTTGAGGAACTGACTTGACAAGCATAGGCAGATACATTTTGATTTAAATCTAGAAGAAGTGTATGAGATAATATCCGCCTCAAGTGCACTAAGACATCTCAAGTACCAACAAACCTCCTTGTTTTACATTTAGGCAGGAAAAATCAAAGGTATAAGTACAGATTAGGTGAAACCTGGCTCAAAAACAGTAACTGTGAGAGGGACCTTGGCATCCTAATAAATGATCACTTGAATATGAGCCAGCAGTGTGCAGCCGCCGCCGCCAAAAAAGCTAATACAATCCTGGGTTGTATAAACAGAGGCATAGAATCAAGATCATGTGAAGTACTAGTACCAGTTTTCAAATGTTCCAAGAGAGCAATGGTTGAGGTAGGGGGAAATAAAATTCTTCTATGTAAGTTGGAGTTCTTACTCTTATCTTAAGTATCTTAAATGACCTAACTCATCTTATACTCTGCAATGCTGTGCAATCTCCCTGTCTCCTGATCTTTAGTATTGGCGGGGAGGCCTTCACCAATATCCTCCTATTTTATATCAAACAAGTGCAAGAGAGACAGAGAGTTTGGCTGGAAGTGGGAGACCATGAGTTCTAATCCTGGCTAAGTACATAAGGCACACAAATCAACAGTGACTTTGGGCCACTCCCTGTTCTTCTTTTTAAGAAGGAGGCAATGGCAAACCACTTCCAATTTTTTTTATTTGCCAAGGAAACTGTTGACTGAAAAGCACACACAAAAGTTCAAAAATAACAAAATGCATTTAAAGAATATTTGCAGCACCATAAAGAATGAGAGAAAAAAAAATGAGAAATTCCTTTTGCATAAGAAAACTCTTGAGAAATTGAATATCTGTCTAGATTCAGCTACATGTTACGCTCAGTTGAGTTTCCACGTCCCCCTGCAGGCACTTCCCAAATCATGAAGATTAATAGTGAACCTAGCAATGTTACACCCTGTATTATCCTGACCCAATTCAGAGTGGACTGTGGCAATCAGGGTGGATAAAAATCAATGATTTTTTTAAAAAAATCAAAAAAATTCAGATTTTTTTGATTTAAATCAGATTTTTTTGATTTTTATCGAATTTATTTTAATAAAAAACTTTTGAGGTAAAAATCTATCGTAAGATAGTTTTCTATTTAAGATACATAAATAATTTAGTTTATTCAGCATGAAATGGAGCTTAGTTATGTAGCATGAGGCTGTATATTCTGCAACACTGGGACTATCGGTGAGTCAACAGTGGGTCAAAGGAGTAGCAGAGATGACAGTTGCTCTTTAAAAATTATGATTTAAATCGAGTTGATTTAAATCAAGCCTTTTTACTAGTGATTTAAATCATGATTTAAATTGTGATTTAAATCAACTCGATTTAAATCAAATCCACCCTGGTGGCAATATAGAGAGTAAATAAATAATTAAACAAATCTTTAGCGTACTGCCCAAATGGGGATGATGTATCCTGGAAAGTCTTTCTGTGATAATATCATCCTGCAGGAAGCGTGTGAGAATGGCAAAAGTGCAAAGCCACTATTTGACTTCATAGACAAATTGCTATGGGACACCACACAACTGCTGTACACAGCTCTGCAGCGGTAATTTTAATCAGTTATGCTTACATCTAACACTTCAATCTGTGTACTGTACATCTTATCTTTCATGAGTTGAAATGCCACTTTTGGCTTTTTGTTAGAGTAGGTAGCCTTAAAATCGATTAAGTACATAAGCAATCAAAAGATCTCATAAAGATTATGATCATTTAAACATATGGAAGAGTAGGAGCCTCATGAAGGAAAAGGAAGATGGATCTCTGGTCCTGCTAGATCACTTTATTTCATCTTTGACTTCTTTCTACTAATCTCTCCCACTTCAACTTGTTCACTACATGCAAGAACAAAGAACACCCATTTGTTATTGACACTGTAGTAAGTGTTATAATTTTTCTGGCTCAGGGGACACCCTCCCACCCTATTTTTTTCTTCAGTATAAACATTTAGTCTTGCAGTTTCAGTATATTCAATATAGTTAATAACCTTGTTAGCAACTTAGTATATGTGCTTGGTTCCACCACTCCCTTCTTCCAACTGGCCTCGGATAGACATCCCTGCTGGTTAGTGGAATCCATTTTTTCTCAACTTTCAATTGGGAATGATGGGAACTGGAATCCAACACATGTGTTGGATCAACAAGAGTGTTGGATCAACAAGATCAGTAGCTGCTGCTGCTGAAATATTAACTGTTCAAAAACACCTTCCCCCCCAACTGCAGCATTTTAAAGTCATTTCAAGCAGTGGGAAGTTCCATCCTTTTCTCCCTTCTTCTGACTAGAAGTTCCTACCTCCTCCGTTTCTCGAATCAAAGACAAATTCTGGTAATAAGGAAGGGAAGGGAAGAGGAAATGTGGGGCATGCGGCGCGATCCATAATTTTACGCACCACTTTTCTCTCCTTCTGTGGTTTGGGTCTCTTCTGCTACCCGAAACTTGCTTGAAAAAGCGCCTTTTCCTCCGAAGAAATAAGGCACCCGCAGCCCTTTCGAGGTGCCACCGCTCCAACTTCGATCCCCGCCGCTGCCCGCGTGTGACCGTGAGAGCGAGCGCGTTCAAACGGCAGCGACGAAAGAATTCCTGCCCCGCCAACGCCGAAAGAAAGCCGGCTGGGAGTCGTGATTTGAAGAGCGCGATCCCAGGCGATCCTCTGAATGGCGGAGGAAAGTTTCTTGGAGGCGCGTCTGTCTGTCCAACTTTTCTATTCTTCCTCCCCCCCGACACACACACACACACACACACACACACAGTCGCCCCCTCCCCTCCCCCCGGGTTTCGGTTTACCTGCAGGGTCCCCTCGGACGAGGAACTCCGTTCCAAAATGCTTCCCGCGGCGGGGATCCCCTGAGACATCCTGGCCGAAGAGAAAGAGGAGCTGGGACGGGCCGGTCAGGAGGCCAAAGGGCGCCTAAGGTCCCGGAGGAAACAGCGTAGCCACAGCAAGCGCCGGGGACGCGCGTGGGGACGGGACTGGCTGCGCCCGCCGCCGCCTAAGCGGAAAGCCCAAAGAGGGGCATCCCGGACGCGCGTGCTGCCCTCGGCGCTTCCCCGACACCTGCCTGCCGCCGCAGCGCCTCGCTTGCTTCCTCAGCTGCTCTTCCCTCTGGGGGAAAACCAGGAGCCGCCGCTCTCGCCCTGCCCGGCGCCGCAGATCTGCTCAGCCTCAAGTTCATGGAAATCACGTGGCGGCCTTTGAAACTTCAGGAGGGAACTGGCTGCGAGACCGGGAGGCGGCCTTTTGGCGGAGCCAGCCCGATGGGGAACTGAAAAGAGAGGGGCTTTTCCCTTCCTCCGCCCCGCTCGCTCGTGGGCTGTGGGCTTTTGCGGGGGCTCCAGAGCCGGAATCCGCTCGGCTGATGATCGGGGCAAGTCCAAAGCTTCCTGCTGAAAGTGGCAGCTCTTCGTTCACTCGCCCGTCTTCTTTCCCCCGTTTGAAAGGGCCGCGCTTGTAGAGGTGGGGGTGGGGGGGTGAGAGATCTGAGGAAAGAGCTGTGCTTGCGGAGAACGGGAGGCGGAAACCGGGAACAAATCCTGAAATATTATATATAATAACTATTTCGATATTTATATATAGTTATTCATAGATATTTATATATATTTATTATAAATAATAAATATAACATTTATATATAATTATTATATAGTTATATATGTATATGTATATGTGTGTGTATATATATATATATATATATATATATTATATATATATTATTATATATAATTATATATATATATATATATATATATTATATATATTTTCTCAGGTTTTCGCGGGTGTTTGTATGTAGGTCTTGGTTATTCGGGTCTTCTCCACGTAAAATTGGAAGTGTCTTGGCGACGTTTCGACGAAGTCTCATTCGTCATCTTCAGGTGGTGTTCTCGGCTTCGTGCTTCCATTGCTCCTGGAAGCAATATATATATATAAAAAACTATATATAAATATTGTTATATTATATAACGATATAGGAAATTGCCTCTAGCATTTCCACTGTCAATTAAAGGGGGAGGGAACCGTTGTTATACTTGAGCTTGGAAGAGGCAGGATGGCTGTGCCCTGCCTCTCTGAATCTCACCTTTTCACAAAAAGTACCACTCAAGGCAGCCAACCCTGCATTTAAAAGAATGACCCGCACAAAATAAACAGCATTAGCTGTATTATTAGCTGTGTGTCTGTATAGCTTAAAACCCTAAAAATTTAGCTTACAATTGATCCAAACATTTTATTGTGACCTATCTTTACTTCTGTAGAAAATTAAACTGTAAATTAATCTTCTAAAATATCAAATGGATGGGGAAGGGGATAGTTTTGATTATTGCTTACCTAATTAGACCGGTCTACCGTCTACGCATCTTCAAGCTACCAAGGTTGAGAAACACTGAATTAGACTATCTCCTTTCCTTCAGAAGCTCAAGATGAAGTTCCTATCACTCTCTTGCCTTTTCCTCTCACTCCTCTCTACAGGATAAAGTTGAGTTGAGAGAGGGTGACTATTCAGTTGTGGAAACTTCGAGCTTTGATCTCTGTAATTTAGTCCATCATTAACCAATACACTGATTTGCATTTTATTAGATGCACAGGCTTGCAGGTGAAATGTCTGATGGACAAAACATGCTTTGAAAGGCATGAAATTTAAAAAGGTGTCATAAAAGGGGAAAAAAACAAATAGAAAAAACCCACACATCTTTGACTTGCTCAACTACCCCTGGAACCTTTAAAGGTTGCAGAGTTCTTAAGTTGCTTCTGAACCAATCTTAAGAGTTGTTGGATAGCCTAGAAGTACATTCAAATTCTACATAGAAAATTGCCTTGTACAGTAAGGTTATTAGACATTTACTTCTGTAATTTATATTAGCATGCAACAACACTGCTGAATTTCAAATGGGTTTCTCACAACCCTACTTTAAAGGTGTCAGAGACTGAACTGAGCAGCTTTTGCATGCCATGTGGATATGCTGTGAAAAATGCAGTTCACGTTGAGCTCAATTCCTGATTTCATGGGCCATGTAGTTTTCTTGGCAGAAATATGGAAGTGGTTTGTCACTGCCTCCTTCAAAAAAGTTTTGAGTTTCTAATCCCACCCTACCAATTCGACTCATATGCCTGATTCTATCTAGGCTATGTTCTTCCCAGACCGAGAAAAAAGGACCACTTCCACATTTAGTTAGAATAACTGAATTTTAAAATGTCACAACCTGTTTTGTAAAACACAACCGTGTTTTGCACTTAATCTATAACCTTAAACTAAAAAAGCATGAATATAAAAGACAACTGTTTTTTTAAAAAACTAAGCTGCAATAGATTTTGAGAGCAGAAAGGACTATTCTTCTTTGTCTTTTACATAATAGAGATCTAGGTTCTATTTATCATAGATTAGCACTGAGACAGACTTTTGTGGGACACTTGATAATTATCACTCCATGTTCTTAGTATCAAGTACCTTGGAGAGAACCTGCATGTCTCAAGGTTCAACATCATGGACAAATAAAATTTTACTCGTGAATATTGTCAAGAAGCCATTAAAAACTAAATTCAGTTAATAGGATACTGAAGTTTAGTTAGTAATGGAAACCAAATTCTATACTCTGTTCTATTCACCATTAAATTTTAGTATTTTTGTTGTTGACGCTCCATGTACCATAACAATGAAGACTTCATGCATATAGGGATTAAGCAACCAGTTTTATTATGTATCCATCTGAAAACCTGAGCTATATTAAGAAAACAACCAGACGCCTTCTGATGCAATGCCAGTTTACAGTCAAGTTAAAAATATAAAGTTGAATGTTGTGACATTTCAAGTGAAGAGATATTTTTAAGCCTTAAAAAAAGGACTGACTTCTTCTAAGTCAGCCAAATAGTGAAACAGAATTTTCTTCTATAAGACATTTAAAACTGTACTGATTTATCTTTCCTGAGTTTCCAAGATCATTACCTATCTGCAGTTGGAATTTATAGTGCTCTCCCAACCACAGGCAACATTACTCATCTCAAAATGATAGATACACACACACATACACACACACTTCCTTGTTCAAATAGCACTGCCTTGCTTCCTCTTACTTTCTTTTCCCAGTTTTGAAATTCCTCGTTATACTCTACAAAACTTAATATATGCTCCCATACTCCTGCTGTTACAAAAACTAAAACAGAAAGTCATCCATCGAGGTACAATTACTCTTTTACATTCTTCTGAATTTTACAGTCAAACTGCAATGCTTCAGAGTTCAGTCATCTGAAAGGATTTACATTAAAAAAAATTCAACAACATGTATGACTGTACTGAAATACAATACAGTATGTAACCTCATTCTTAGATAATTCAGTGACAATTACTTGCAAGTATGTTTAGGACAGCAGAATGATTGATACAAAGAGAACTTGATTTTAGAACTCAAAACTTTTACTTTTAAGGTAGGCTAACTATTGTAACACTTAAGTCATAAAAGATCATTTAGCTGTTTAGATTTAGACAGCTAAGTTTATTTTTTATTTAAAGGAAACAGCATGTTTACTGCTTTACAAATAGAAAAATGCATTTCACAGTTGTAAGCTAATAGAAGATTCAGATTTTAACATTAAATTTAATGCGCACATAGTGGGGAAGTCCATCAGTTAAGAAATAATAATTAGTCAGTTTCATTTTCAAATAATCTGAATATTTTGGAGAATTAACTAATTCTGTTAATGGTAGTTTTATTATTGTCTCCTAATTTCAGGAAAATTAGCAAAATTGAACAGCATTTAAAGCAGCAAGAAGTTCTGAATGATACAGTCACAAAATACTAAAATCATCTTCATTTTTGTGCACGTAGTAACAGAACTAAACCAATTTAGAAATAGAGATGGGAGGCCCAGAGGAATGGAGATGGAGATGGATCCCTCTGTTAAAGTACAGAAGTTTGCTGATGATACAACAGTCATTGGTCTCAGCCAGAACAATCTGGAGCTGAACATGCTTAAAACTGTAGAGATGAGAGTGGATTTTAGCAGGAGCCCTCCTATTCTACCACCTCTTTCTATATTAGACAACATAGTATCAACAGTAGAGTCCTTCAAATTTCTGGGTTCTATAATCTCATAAGATTTGAAATGGACACCTAATATTAGAACCATCATTAACAAGACACGACAAAGAATGTTCTTGCTGTGTCAACACAGAAACTTCAGACTGCCCAAAGAGCTGCTGATACAGTTCTGCAGAGGAATTATTAAGTCTGTCATTTGTACTTATAACTGTCTGCTTTTGGTACAGCAACCAAGCAGGACTGCATAGTTAGGACTCCACACCCAAAAGTGCTTTTTTCAAGAGGCAACTGGACTTTCTGTTTTTTCTTTGAAGAAGTTTCACTTCTCATCCAAGAAGCTTCTTCAGTTCTAACTGGATGGTGGGGAATGGAAGGATTTATACTCCTGGCAGACAGCTGGTCATTTGCATTGTTTTAGTAAGTCGTTAAGGCCACCTGGAGGTTTATCTGTGTCATCAGGGTCACCTGAGTAGTGCAAATGAGTGTGGAGCTTTCCTGGAATTGTTGAAAGGACTGTGTTGTAGACTGGGGATAGATGATGTCGTATCCCTCCCCCTCTGTTGAGAGGGCTGTTCAATTTTGACATAGATGGCTTCTTTGGCCCCTTTCAAACCAGCTGTCTTCTCTGTCCAAAATGTGGAGTTTGCTGTCTTCAAGAGTGGCTTTTTTCTGTTAAATGCAGATTGGCTGCTGAATCTAGTCCCGATGGGTTTGTTCTCCTATGTTGTGCTATGAGTTTATGAAATGATTCTAAACAATGAAGCGAAACGTCTTCGAAGAAAAACCAGAAAGTCCAGTTGCTTCTTGAAAAAAGCACTTTGGGGCAACCATGAGCTGGATGACTGAGAATCTCCATAGATATTTAAGATTGCAAGAAAAAACTATTACAACCAGCCTGCCTTCCTATACTGCACAGGCCAGAAAGAGGGCTGAGAAAATATCTACAGACCCCTCACATGCTTCCATTAGGATGCTGCTATAAAGCACTGAATGCCAAAACAACTAGTTTTTTTTCTTTGTGCTACCACTCTACTGAACACTTAATTCCCACAGTGCTGCGTTATGTCTATTTAATTTGGCTGTATTACTTTTATCCTTTTCAACTGTTCCATTACCTTCTTATTGGTATCATAATTATGATTATTACTTTGTTGTTTTGCATGTACACTGAGAGCTTAAGCACTGGAGACACGATTCTGTGTGTCTATCACATTCGGCCAATAAAGCCTATTCTATTCTATTCTATTCTATTCTATTCTATTCTATTCTATTCTATTCTATTCTATTTATTCCATTCCATTCCATTCCATTCCATTCCATTCCATTGATGTTTTAATGGTTGAAATATTTTTCAGTTCATTTTGCAGTTATGAAAGAACTAGTTTGGTATAGATTTCCCTTCTTTCATCCTTTGATCAGTACACCATTGTAACTAATCGGTAAGTTTCCTGTTTAAAATTAATGGAAGATCCCTGTTTTTGAGAAACTTATATTCATAAGTGCCAGGATAGCTAAGGCACTCTTTGAATCCTAGCTACTATATTGCATTTTTATTAAATAATTTTGTGAAATATATTCATTAAACTTGATTACTCTTATGATAACTTAGTTATACTTGATTCTGAACTCTAAGCTGTTTTGAAAAGAATAAATCATCAGACGTTTTAAAAAAACTAAAAGCAATATATTTTTACATGTATTTCTGCCATTTTCTTTCCTTCAAGATGTTTTTAAGAAATAATGAATTCCTGAGGTTTTCTTTTCATTTTTTTATCAACTTAGTGTTCTTTTTACCCTTTTTTATATTAATTTTATTTTATCCGAAACATTAAAGTACAAACTCCAAAAAAGAAAAAACGTAATACAAATTCAAAACAAAACTAGGTAAGTCTACGCAAAAATGTGCATTTAAAGAATAAAAACTCAAAACAGACATATGTAAATTGTCCCCCCCTGAATACTGATATATTTCAAAGATTATATCTCCTTCCCCCTTGTGAAGCAGGCACACAATTTATAAATTTCTAGAACACTGTTTATCCCCCACTTGGCCTGACATCTATTCACTATGTGGAAACATAGTTAACAGGTAAAACGAACAGCTAAACTTCAAAACCGTGATTTAAAAGTCTAGCAGAAAGTCCACAATGACTTATGATCTACCATAAATCACCACAATCATCTCTGGTCTACTGGAATCAAATACTCTCGATTGATTCTTAAGTTATTAATAGGGATCTTTCCTAACAGTTGGATTTTATTCCCCAAAGTCATGACTTTGTTGTGTATATCTCCACAGCATTTCCTGTTCAAAAAGTCTCCTGTAAGTTGTAATTCAGCACCTCTTAACATTTGTTTTCCGATTGAATATAATAAATCCATTCTCCAATCTCCATCAACCTTCTTGAGAAGATTGAGTTCATCCCTGGACAATTCTATCCACTTTGTCTTTCAAATCCATACCTCTAACTAACTTGCATTTTCCGAATCAGGTCTGCTGGCAGCAAATTACATTTGAATCCATCTGGTTGCAACTGCCATTACCTGCATTTGGTTATCTTCTTCTAGGTGGCTGAAAATTAGTTATTTTATCAAACTTTTTATCCAAATATTCAAATTGGGCTTGTAAATTGAAAAGTATTCTTTCCCCCCCCAACTTTCCCCTAAAGTTTCTCTTGATATATTGTTTGCATTTTGACTATATTTTGATATAGTCCAGGATACTTCAGTAGTTAAACTTTTGCAGCTGATCTTTTACAGCCGATTATAAAAAGCCCTTCTCAAAGACAGGAAAAGCACCATAGCAAATTAGCCTTGAAAAACATAGAAAAGGACTTCCCCAGCATAAAAAAGAGATTTTCATTAATTTAAAAAAAAAAAATATAAAACCAGACCTTTAAAAAAAATTACAAAAGAATGAAATCCCTATAGTGAAAGTTTGATACAAATGTAAATCGAATCAGATCTTTTTCACTATCCAGAATCTGCTTTGGAAGAAGCGGAAGTGATTTACAACAACTAATAAAACAATAAAAAGAACATTAAAAAAAAACACTTTAAAATCCAGCAGGGGATTAAATTAGATCAGCATTCAAGCAGTCGATTAACATTTAAAAGTAAAAATCAAAAGAAAATATCAAAACGTGCTTTTAAAACCCAGGCGTTCTTAAGACAACAGGCAGCTGGAAGGAAAGGCAGCCTAACCCTCCAACTCCTCCCACTGAAAATTGCAACCTTCTGGGATGGTCCCCTTCTCAGGTAGGTCCAAAGTCATCTGAGGGTCATCTTGGGCGATTCCTAAGTAGTTCCCATTCAAATCTGGGAGGCGTGCTGCCAAAGAGCCAGCTTTGGCAGTGAAACCAGCTGTCTGTCAGCAGGGGAGAAAAAACTCCTGCTGATTCAGAACACTGTCTTGGGGGGGGAAGGATGTCAACTAAGTGTTGATCCATTGGCTGTAACAGGATTTGACTGAATGGCTTCTTACCTGAGCTGTCAAAAAACCCACCAAAAGTTAAGAGAGAGGCCCAAAGTTACCAAGCTGGCTTTAATAGCTAAAGTAAGATTAGAATTCTCCTGGGTTTCTAGCCCGGTATCTTAAACACTATCTCGCTCTCATCTTTCAGAAACAATATGTTTGCAGTAAATTTAATAAAAAAGAAAATGGTATAATGTTGATTTTGAAAATTTATACGTCACAATTATAAAATGAAAAGGCATTTGGAGTTCAGAAATCCTGGAGGAACTGAGTTTTTTAAAAATTAAGGGAAAATACTGGTAATTTACAACACAACTCCAGTAATTCCCAGTCCAGAATTGCTTCTGTCTAGCTTTCCTTGAATATATATCGCTTAAACAAGCCTATTAGAATCTATCACATTGTTTGCTTACTGTATGCAATTCAAATTAGTCTCATTTGAATTAGAAAAAGGATATCTAAATATTCAAAGATCACATTACAAAATTATTTACTAAGATTACTATTACAAAAATATTTTTACTTTCCACAAGAATATGGGCAAAGTGGTTTTTAAGTAATATATAGATTAATAATCTTACAATTACTATATCTTCCTGAGGTGTGGATAGAAGGCCAATTCAATCAGCCCTCTTTTAATTTGCATACCATGGAAATCAGGAAAATAAAACAAAACATCCATTATTGAGAGCACAAAACTTGGTATTTCTTTGCAACTTGAATATTTACTAAATGGTGATGTGGAAGTACATTGTACCCCCTGCCCCCAATCAAATTATCAGAAGACTAGTCATGGCTCAGGGAAAAGAGAAAGAGCAGGTACAGGTAGTCCTTGACTTACGACCACAATTGAACCAAAATTTGTTGCTGAGACATTTGTTAAGTGAGCTTTGCCCTATATTACCTTTCTTGCCACAGTTGTTAAGTGAATCATTGCAGATTTAAGTTAGTAATGTTGTTAAATGAATCTGGCTTCCCTGTTGACTTTGCTCATCTGAAGGTCCCAAAAGGCGACCCTGGGACACTGCAACTGTCATAAATGTAAACCAGTTGCCAAGCAACCGAATTTTGATCAGTGAGCAACAGTCATGTGAAAAATGGTCACAAATCATTGTCAGTGCCATTGTAACTTTGAACGGTCACTAAATGAACTGTTGTAAGTCAGTGACTACCTGTATATTAGCACCAAACAACACTTTTTTCTCATTAGTTTTTAGACTGTAGTGAAGACACAACCTGCAGCTAAATACTTTAATCTTTAATCCCAGCCTATAGCTACAATGAACATATAAATTGAGCTCATTTAAAAATTATACTGATCTAGAAATCCACAAACAGTTATAGGGAACTAGATACCCCTCTATATGCATCTAAAGGATTTCAGTTCTTCTCTGAAACTCCAGTTGCAGATGCTCTGCTCATAGTTCTTTTAAAGTTCCACTCAGCAAGAATCTTTGCTAAGGAAATGTACAACTTCATGGATCAAGAGCATACAGTAGATAATGCTCTTACCTAATGTTTGGAGAAATTACCATTAAAGCAATTAAGCATTAAAGCAATCATAAACAAGTCAGTCCTTGAAGAAGATCATTCTGCTGTAATATATTGTAAGCAAATTTAGTTTCAAAGAAAAATGTTCAGATTTAATAATATGCTTAAGTATTTTACAGAGTAGCCATATAAAGAGATCCAGTATCCAACTTCATCACTATCAAACAAAATTTGTTTGGTTATATGGATTCCAGGGGATCACTAAGGATGCTATATAAACAACAACAAAAAATATCAGAAAACTGAATGCAATGATCTCTTCAAAAAAATGTTCATGTATCATGACTAAGTTTTCTTTGTCGGAGTGGGTAGCGTCTCTGTGGAGAACATGATGATCTCTTTATTTTGAGCAGAACAGAATTACTGATAGCAGTTTGTGAAGGTATAACTTCCACTTGTGATGTAAGGTTTTTGACATCGTTTTTATTCTCTTTTTTAACTTCAGAGACAAACATGATTTCTTGATGGAGTCTGCACTGCTCCAAAGTTTGTTGTAAAGACAACGCTTTTGAGAAGCCTTCTGCTTTTTCCACAAGGGATGACAGGGACTGGAGATGACAGGACAAAACAAAACAAAACAATTCCAGGTTATTCAAATTGAGCTACTATATATCCTGGGAGTACTACAATTCCTAAGCCGCTTTAATGAATTCTAGCAATAGTACATTAAACATCAATTCAGATGTGATATGTATTACAAACCTTCCCTAAAACCACTTTGTAATTTCAATACACATTTAAAAGGACTGAAGTTGTAGATTCTATTGGGAGTTGTAGATTCAAAACATACCTACTGTAGATGATTCTATTGGTAAGTACAGCAGACAAATTCTGAATAGATCTATTCAGTTGAAAAATATGAGACTCCTATAGTCTTTTTCTTAAAATAGTTAATGAATCAGGTTTTCACAAGTGTCCTATACCATTGCTTGACAGTAAGTTAACGTTAGGAATTTGTAAAACTATGCATTCCCTGAAAACCTGAAAATGGATATTTGGAGATTGGACTCTATATAGGACATCATCAACCATTTCCTATCCTGGAAAATATACTTCTGGAAAGACACAAACCTTTCTAGAACTAGCATATCATTGCATTCCAGAGAATAGTAAAACATTTTGGAATGTGTAATTTTTCACAGAGTTATATTTCCAGCTTATGAACGCTACTAATTGGACCAGACTTTGTTGTACTTACAACTAACTATCTTATGTCAGTCATTAATACATTTGCAACTGACCCATTATGTAAATTAATCAGCTAAATCTAAATACAACCCATTATATCTTTAGAAATCTCACCTTAAATGATTCTCCAGTATGTCTAGACATAGTTTTTGTTGAAAGTCTCAGTTCTACCATAGACTGATCTGGGGAAAAAAAGATTCATGTATTCTCTTAGAACATAAACCAAGAAAAATATCAATCTGCTGCATTGTAATGTAAAAGAGAGAGAGAAGGAGGAATGATATAGTATCATGGGCAATCTACTATTCCAAAAAGGCTATTTTATTCAACATTTAAAAAGAAAGGTTTCAAAATGTAAAAAAGTACAAATGTTTTGTGGACAATGTTACTTCATTCTGCAATTTACTACCAATTTATATTTGATAAGGAACTATATACTACGACATTCAATGCGTTAAATATACAATCACTTCTGAAATACACAAAACTAAAAATAAACCCTTTTCCTATCACATCTATAACTACTCAGATGATATAGTGAGATTCTAAGGAAACTCAGAGATACTTCATTCAAAATCCATATTCAGCATGCAACTCAATTTACCATTGCTTTAGATTGGTCATATCTCCTCCTAACCTAAACCATACAGTGTTGCAAAGGGATGACAGAAAAATAGCTGATTAAACTAATCAGAACTTCTTTGAAGAAATGAATAATTACACTATAAAACAAACAGAAAAACAACAACAGACTTGTAAATAAACATTGCTTTCCGGGATTTCACAGTCTCTAACCTGCCAGCTTCCCCCACAAATTTCTAAAACTTCTAATATGTATGGCTGGATAAATAAAAGCTCTTGTGTATTGCAATTTCATAGTATTTTTAAACAAAGCTATACAAAGGAGCAAAAATCTTCAAGTTGTTATTAATTATCCCATTTTAGCTTAATATTTATTTTAAAACTATATTTTAAAACAGACTTTCTGACAGAAACCTCTGAAATTAAACTGTTCCACATATATATTTATACTGTCGTAAGCTATTTATCTCCTATTCTTCCATGGACAAATTTTTCATCACTATTGTATCTAATGTCATAAATGATGATTTCCAGTAATTCAACAGACATGTCTTTTCTTTTTGCAGCTCCTAAACCCTAATAATCAGAATTCTGAGAGGGAAATTCCTAGAATTATTTAATACAAAACTGCATAAACCCTAGATTAATCTATCTGGAAAATACTGTGTTGCATTCTGAACTATACAGTCTATCAAATCCACTTCAGTAATGAAGAACAGTAAATAGTAGTTTTAATTATAATCTCTATTAGAAGAGATGATATAAAGTGCAGGTAGTCCTTGATTTACGACAATTGAGCCCAGAATTTATGTTGCTAAATGAGAAATTTGTTAAGTGAATTTTGTCCCATTTTACGACTTTACTTGCCACATTTGTTAAGTGAATCACTGCAGTTGTTAAATTAGTAACATGGTTATTAAGTGAATCTGGCTTCCCCATTGACTTTGCTTGTCAGAAGGTCGCAAAAGTTGGTCACATGACCCTGGGACACTGCAACCATCATAAATATGAACCAATTGTCAAGCATCCAAATGTAAATCATATGACCATGGGGATCCTGCAATGGTCATAAGTGTGAAAAATGGTCATAAATCACTTTTTTCAATGCCTTTATAACTTTGAACGGTCACTAAATGAACTGTTGTAAATCAAGGATTACCTGTATGCCCTGATTATAACTGCAAAGCCTAATATACATTGAGTTTTTTAATGCAATTACATACAGGTTTTGAGGCCACAGTGAACTTTCAAGCTTTCTCTTTATATTTCTTAAAAATCACCCGTACGAAATTGTCTGCTTCTATACTACTACAATATGCAATAAATATATGAGCTAGAGGAGTGTATAGGTCAACACATGTCTTCTAAAAACTTCACAATACAATATTTTCCAGGAAGAGGGAGGAATAATCAAGTAAGTAAATTTCTAAGTTACCGGTATCTAAGTCTTTCCAAGTATTTGTGTCCTAGGACCAATCTACATGTTAAGCGAAATACAAATTCACAAAATCTGCTTTGACTCAAAAGTAACCTTTCTCAACTCAAAAAATTTGGGAAATCACTTTTCAGATAAAGACAAATGAGTACACATCCAAGCAGTGTATCTTGAACAATGTTAGGCTCTAGGAAGGCAATGGCAAATCACTTCTGAAATCTTGCCAAGAAAACTGTAAGGACTAGTTCAGACAGCCACCAGGAGTCAAAGGCACAATCCAGTCTCTCTAAAAAACCCCTGCAAGTTTCTTCGCCGGCTATAGTTGTTTCTTCCTTCTATAAGTATCTTGTTTATTTTGCAGGAAGACCCTCACAGTAGAATTGCAACTTGGCTGAACAGGGTTTATCCTCCCAAATTTTGAATTCAAAATTTTTATAAGCTGAAAAAATTAACTGCTGTGAGATGTAGCCGTATCAATTATTCCAAATAAATATGCAGACAAATAACCCTATGGCCACACCAAATATTCACTTTGAGCCCTTTAAACTTTGTTGGTGACTATACAGTCCCCCTTCAGCCAATATCAGTAAAAGCAAAAATTTGCAAATAGTGGCATTTAGTACTGCTTTTTGCAGGTACAATTAAAATGTACCTAATAAAAAAAAGTTAAAGCTAGAAACAAATATAATGGAAAGCCTCTAGGACCATGCAGTTCTTCGCCTGCTAGTCTTACTGATCCCAGGATGGTGTTTTCCCATATATCTTCACTGTTCTTGTTTCCTGATTTGCTTTCTCGAGCATCTGTGTAATGCTCCAGCTTTTGCTCTTTGAATCTCTTTCCTAAATCTAATTTCTATTTTCCTACTATAACCAACCTTAAGTAATTGCAATCCAGCAATTGGGTGACCATGGGCCAGTCACTCTTTCTCAGCCCTAGGAGAAAGGAAATGGTAAACCACTTCCAAAACATTGCATAGAAAACTTCAGAGACTTGTCCAGGTATTTGCCAGGAGTCAACACTGACTCAGAGGCACATTAAAAAACGAGTCCAAATATAAAAATAAAAATCTTGACTCTCTTTACATTTGCTACCTTTTATATTAAAAACTCATCGAGCTGAGAACTGTCCTCTTGAACTTTCTAAAACTCAATGAAAACTGAAAGTATTATAACAGTAATAAATTCTTTCTGGATGACTTATGGTCAACTTGACTGAACTTGGACAAGTTATTGCCCTTTACTTCTGCATTCCATCTGTAAAATAGGAATAATGGGAAGAGTTACAGCATACTATGTATTGTAAAATCAGTACAAAACAACTGCTTGCCGGTTTTTCCAAGGTCAATTAACTTCATTTGAAAAGAAACTAGGTTATTCCAATCAATCTCCCCCAGCAATACTTATAAATATGTTTGCCCTGATAGACTATTACATGATTGTACATCAGAGAAGTATTTAAAAAACTAGATGTTTACAATGCTTCAAAAACATGGGAAATGAAATAAGGAAATGAAAGCATATTAATTCTATCTTTCGTTTCTGGTGACTGTAGTTATTGCACAAATTGTGCAAATAAATTAATTCACCATGTATTTGCACAATGTTTTCCTAAACATTATTTCCACTTTAGATTTTTTTAAAAATTGTGATTGATCAGATAGTTTTACTTTATAATCCAATCAGTGTGTGGAACTTGTGGTATAAATTTGTATGCAATAATTCTTCATTGCAAATAAATTACCATAAGCAATGTTTTCAAGTTAGAAGAAATGCTGCCTGAAGACAAGTTAAACTTGATAATAAAATGCCTTATTTGCCTTAATAAGTGTGTAATTAGTGATTCATATGTTACGCTAAAAATAAAATTAGAGATATGGTTGGTGTTTTTACTATTTTTTACTGCTATATTTGACCTACTCCACATTTTCATAGCCTTATCATAACATGCATTCTTACTAGTAGCATCTAATAAAATGATATCATTTACTGCGTGTTTTAAAGCAATACAATTAATATTGAGCAGAATTAAGTTCAGCCTATTGCTCAGTTTCTTATGTGGTCCTTTGGGAAAATTAATTGCTACCTCTAGTCTAAACACGATGGCATGGAAGGTGGTAGAATTTAAACCATAAACATTATATGGCATTCTGTTTTTTTCCTGCAAAGCAATGGATCCAAAACCATAGGTTTTTAAAAAAATCTTAAGTAGGTTTTTTTTTTTTTTTAGACTCAGGGTTGTGTGAAAGCATGACTGAAAAAAAATAAGCATCACTGTTTAAACTTTGCACACACCATGCTAGTGCTCAGTGATTGGTGACTTTTACACACCCCAATTTAGCTGCAAGCCCACCACTTTACTGTTCTTTTAACATTGCAAATTGTGGGCTGTGAAGGCTAAAAGTGAGTTTTATTGTGAAGTTTTTGTAATTTCACAATTGTTATGCAGGAGTTCCCTGAGACCTGAACATTATTTCAAGGGTTTTTCCAGGGCAAAAAGGTTGGACAAGGCTATCTTAAACACTTTGTACATTATGCTTTCCCCTCCACTAGAATTCACATCAGAAGCATAAAATGTTCCCACATAATGCCAGATTTTATCCCGTCTCCTTTTCCTCTCTTTTTTTCTTCCTTCCTCTTTCTCTTTATTACACAGCACTTTTATGTACTTGCCAATTTTAGGATAGTCTTTCCTTTAACTACTGGCATGCTGTCTAGTCCACAAAAACGTATGTCATATGAATAGGCTAAGTTATAAGGTATTTGGTTTTGGTCTTGGTGATGAATCAAGAGAGGTCCACTCTGGAAAAGAACAAGGAGTTATGGAGTGTTTAAAAGATACAACTGCCAAATTCTATGGAAAGAAATGAAGTACATCATTTCAGAAAATTACCTTGAGAAGGTTCCACTTTTATGTCTTGACAATTCACAAAAGGTTGATAGCCCTAAACAGACAGACAAATGCATTTAAAAATCTCTTTCTTTTGTTCGCATGATAACTTCTAAAATGTGACTTAATTTGTGGTTAAAACATTTGAATCTTAAGCAAATAATATATATGTAATACATCTCAGTAAAAGCAGTCATTATTTGATTTGTAAATTTAGCATAAGCAGGTTTTGCTGTCTCATCCCATACAGTCCTGTATAGGGTTTCCTGCTTAAGCAGGCGGTTGGATTAGAAGACCTCCAAGTCCCTTCCAACCCTGTTATTCTGTTAAGTCCTCACTGATCTTACAGTGACCTTCTGAAGTTACGGTGCTAAACAAGGGGCACTTATAGCAGGTCTTTATAGTTGTGACCACTGCAGTGTCCCTACGATAATGGGATAGCAATTTGAGTGCTTGGCATCTGGCTCACAATTATGATGTTGCAGCAGCCCACAGTCATTCATGACTTTCACTGCTGGCTTTTGGCAAATGGAATCAACAGGGAAGCTGACAGGAGGTTGTAAAAGGCAATCATATGACTACAGGATGCTGTGTGACCACTTAGGATTCTCCTAACAGTGGCAACTGGGACTGCTGTCATAAGTTATAATCGCACTGTTTAGTGACAAAGTTCCCACACCCAATTACTACTAGTAAGAGAGGAATACCTGTAATAACTAGATGAGTTAGATGCTGTTATATATTTTATATTTTAATCTGAATAATCAATTTTCTGTATTATCTAACTTTACAGCAATTTGGATGACTAATAAAACAGTGCCCCCTGCTGCAAGATGTAGGATAAGGTAGATTTCTTAATTTAAACATTCAGACTTTTATTAAAAAAATTTATCAGTGATTGTAACCGAACCGGCACTTCTCCCGTCTTACTGGTTTCCTGAAAATATTTTTACAGATATTTTTCTTTTACTCAAAATCTTTTTTTGGGAGTTCTGTATTTTGTTTTTTAATCTTGTTTGAAGCAAAATAAATATATATTTAAGAAAAACCTGCAAAGCAAGTGTTCTCAAATATGCAACTTTGTGCCCTCAGAAAGCCAGTAAGACAAAACTAGAATGAGTATCTGCCCCAAAACAAACAGCATATAGAGAGAAAGGGGAAAATGCTAGAAGGCACCTATACATATATACACATATATGTCTTAGCTACAGATTATAAAAAGAGCAATAAAAAGCAGAAAAAAGTATTATTTTTTAAAAAATAACAATTCAGATACTGGAGGACATGCTGCTATAGAGGATGTCACTTGGTAAATGTTCAGTAGAGTACAGCCTGCCAAGTACAGAGATTCTGATCCTGGGACAAGAAGTAAGATCCAGAAGAAAATGTTGGACTGACTTGAAAGAGTGTGGAAAGACCAGGAGGAGAGATTGTGATGTGTGTTTGAAGATTCAGAAGTGAAACAGAGGAACTATGTGAATTAATGCCTTTGTTTGTTAGCAAACAGCAGGGAGAACTTACGGGCATTTACAGTCTCAATAATTGAGATAAGGAGGGGAGGAAAAAACCATAATAGAGTACAAATGAACAGTGAAAGAAAAAGGGAGGAAAGCTAACTGGTTAAGATTTATTATTGTATCATCTTATGTACATACTGATTTTGTAAACATTTTCACTTGTATAACACTAGATCCCACTACTTTATTAGCATAGAAATCATGTCCTGCTTAAAATCGCTCACGCCTTGGTTATCTTTCATATGGATAACTGTAATACTTTCTACATGGGGATGCAACATGTGTCTTTGTAAGCACTTATGTGCACCCCTTGATCGGGCTATATTACACTTTTCCCTGTGGGTTGTATTAGTTGCCAGTTTGCTTCTGGGTATAATTCAAGGGTTATCTTGGACTGCTTCTCTCTCCAATTACGACTTATTCCATCAGGTCTGGCAGGAGGGAAACGGTTTGGTCCTGTCAACCAGTGAGTATTGTCTGGAAGAGCTAAGAATTTTTGCAAGATCCTGAAAACATGGTTTTGCCAAAAGACATGGAAAGTGAGCTAGAGCCTGTGCAGTGGCTGCATTTAATGCTATGGATGGTTGTGGTCAACATAAACGTGTGTGTGTGTGTGTGTGTGTGTGTGTGTGTGCGTGTGTATACCCGTGTTTTCCCGAAAATAAGACCCTGTTTTATTTTTTTTTTGAACCCTGAAATAAGCGCTTGGCCTTATTGCCATGCGCTCAAAAACCCAATTCAGCTTATTATCAGGGGATGTGTTATTTTGGGGGAAACAGGGTACACACACACACACACACACACACACATGCATACATACATGTTTGTAAACCCAGAATCATGTATTAAAAGGGGTGGCTATATAAAACTAACAGTGTCCACAATAAAATTCTTTAAGTACTGGCTGTATATGTGTCTATATCAGCTTCTATCCTGAACCACTCTCCAAAAAGCATCTTTTTTAAGGCTTTAAGTAAGTAGGCATATATATTTCCCTGCATCACAATAATTATAGTAGATTTTAGTGATCACAACATTACCTCACCTTAGTAACATATTAAACTAGGCTCCTACACTATAATCTGGTATTCATAGACATCTGCTACTGCAGTAAGCAAATCATTATCTGATTCTCTCAAAGTAAATATTTTCACCCAATGACTTAAGAATTCAAATTACTCACCAACAATTTTTGTTGCATTTTAATGCCTTTAACAACATTTATTTGCATTTTTCTAGGATATCGATTACGCTTGGAAGCCACTTCCACAATTAATTCATCAAGCTGGTCTTCAAGGAGTTTAATGTCTGTGTCTATTTTACAACAAAAATAGAAATGTTTAATATTTGAAAAGTAGAGTATGTGGATTTATTTTTAATTTCAGTTGGCATAGAAAAAGGTACATATATATAATCATCTTGACCAGGTATACATGAAAGTATAAAGAGAAAAGATTTATTACAGTAAAATTTTTATTCATTATTAAAATTAAAATTGTGAAACAAATTTGAATTTATGTTAAATGACAAACCGTATGATAAACCCATAAAAAGCCAACTAACACCAAAGCAAACCAACTAATGATTTACTGAATTGAAACCGTAAGAATTAACTGTTTAATAAAATTTTGTTTAGAAATTATTGCTTGGAAACAGACTAGTTTCTTGACATAAATCATTTTAACTGAAAAAGAAACAAAGAATCATGTGCAACAAACTGACTGGAATTCTTATCCAAGTAAAAATAAAAATACAGATATAGGTAGTCCTGTACCTTAATGACCACAATTGATAATGGAATCTCAGTCATTGAGCAAAGCGGATGTTAAGTGAAATGCCCATGTGACTGCTTCATTCAATGACTGCAATTCCTGAACTTCCACTTGCAGTTATTAACCTGTCTCCTAGGTCATTAAGAAGAGCGAGTGAAAGGTCTGCTTTCTGGCAGATGAAATCCATCGGAAGGCAACCCTTTGGCTCTCAAATGTTCCTGCAGCCAGCTGAAGGATTTCAGCTCCCCTCACTGCGGGGGAGGGGAAAATGCTTTGGTAGGCTATGGTGCTGAAATCTTCAGTATCTCGCTCTGTTCCTGCTGGCCATGGAAGACTTAAACTCCCTTCTGTTCCTTCTGCTTGCAACCATCTCTGCCGGTATCTGCATTGACTTTCTGGGGAAGTCAGCAGAGAAGATTGCAAATGGTGTTCACATTTTGGGGTGCTTGGCAAGTGGTCATAAATGTGAACCAGTTACAAAGTGTCCGAAATGGGATCACTCAACCAAAGGAGGGGATGGTGTAGGGATTTCACCACTCGGGTGGTGAGACATTTTATCACTGGTGAAAGTGTCTTATGGGTAATAAAGCACTCTTTCCAAGGTTGTTGTAACTTTAAACAGTCATTAAACGATCTGGCATAAATCAAGGATTACCTATAATGGTAATATGTTACTAAGTATTTTGAAAAGCCTCAATGGTTAAATATGAGTTACTTTAAAAAAATTCTGGAGAAAGAAGTTTGTCCAAAACTCACAAAATAACCAACTATACCACACCATTCATCCATCTTTCTATATGAGACATTTAAAATTTAAAAACATATACACACTCATTATTTAAGTTTGCTTGGTACCTTGAAATAAGGACACCCCTCTCCAAAAGTGCATATATCTAAGTATTCAGTTTCATAAAAATATATGTTCACATCGGGAATTCCAAACATTCCTCAGTTCTTCAAAGTTGTTTTAAATTATAAGCATAATTGTTATTGAGTATGGATACCAGATATGGGCTGCAAAAATCTAACCAGGTGTTAAGAAATATAGAATGGTGTACTGGTTTGCTACCATCTAATAATATGGTAAGAATTTTTATTTTTAGTGCCTTTGAGCCAGTGTTTACTCCTGGCAACTGCCTGGACAAGCCCTTACAATTTTCTTGGCAAGATTTCAAAGTGGTTTGCCACTACTTCTTTCCTAGGGCTGGAGAGAGAATGACTGGCCCAAGGTCACCCAGCTGTCCTTGGTCTAAGGCAGGATTAGAACTCATTATCTCTTAGTTTTTAGCCTTGTACTTTAACCATGATACCAAACTGGCACTGTAGAATTCATAACTGCTACTTAAAATAAAATACCAAATTAAAAAAAAAGAATCAATAATTCAACTGAAATGAAATATAGTACAACTTTTCTACAAATGCTGTTATTAATTCACATCATTTTAAACTACTAGAGAGTGTTATATAATTATAAACTGTTATCTACAAATTATTACAAGCCAACAGATGGCAGTAGCAGACCTTTTAATCTGAGATGACAGGAAAATAACAGAAAATATTTTTGCATATAAAGTATATGATCTATTATGTTACAGTCTCCTCACTATAAATGGAGGTTTCTCCTATACTGTATCTATAACTAATATTTTTAAACCAGACTAATATTGCAAGCAATTGTACTGCAAAAGTGATTGAGTAATTCTGTTCACAATAAAATACAGGTAGCCCTCGATTTACGATTACAACTGAGCCCAAAATTTCTGTTGTTAATTGAAACATTTGTTAAGTGAGTTTTGCCCCATTTCACGACCTTTCTTCCATAATTGTTAAGTGAATCATTGCAGTTGATAAATTAGTAATACGGTTGTTAATTGAATCTGGATTCCCCATTGACTTTGCTGGTCAATAAGTCACATTTTTCAGTGCTGTTGTAACTTTAAACAGTCACTAAATGTACCATTGTAAATCGAGGACCACCTGTAATTTCTTATGCATAAGATTTTCCAACAGTATTAGTCAAGACCTTGCATATTAACTCTAAAGATACTTTTAGATTAATATACCATTTTGAAGATCTGATGATTCCTGCCACAGCTGCCCATTAACAGTGATATTCTCTTGTACAGCTGTTTCAAAGTTCTGTACAAAATATATAAAAATATATACAGATAAGAATATATAATGTAAGAATTCTTAAAAAGATACCTTTAAATGCCAATCCTGGATCACAAAATGGATGAGCAAGGAATGACATTGATAAACAGCATTCTGACAAAGCACATCCATTCAACAAAACACGTCCACAATATTTACAAGCACAATGATGTTCTCATGTTGATAGATATATTACAAAATAGTTTCCAACCTTCAGCACATTCCAACATTCGGCACAAGGCTTCAAACATTTTGCATGACAATGCACAGAATTATGTGGAATAAATGCTCATTACAGATATTAGTATTTTCATAAGAAGAAATGAATGCAAAATTCAACTCTATTAATATATAGTCACAAATACCTGAAAAAAAACCCTCTATATTGCTAAACAGAAAACTCAAGGCAAATTAATGGATGTAATAAGTCCATTGCCCTTTCTAAAACAAATTGGCAACTTCAGATTGTTCTTTATATACAGAAAGATACTATTAATTTCTATCAAGGGAATAATTGCAAAGAACCTTTGACTTCTCTTGTCTGTTTTCACAATTAATTTTACCAGTTAAAAGAAAAGTTTTTTCACAAAAAATAAGAGAAGGAAAACTCTGACATGTGCTCTAGAGAAAGTACATCCTAATGGTAGACAATCTCTAGCACTCAATTGTCAGAAATTTTTGGGGTTTTTTGCATGCAAAGCTAGAGACAGAGTCATTATCAATCTGAAAATCAGTCCTTTTCAGATCTTTTTGAACTCATTAGATGACCACAATCAAGCCAGTCTTGACGTATACTATGCAGAGCGTACTAGTTTACTTTATTTACTATCATAATTACAAAATCTAAATAAACTTACTAAGGGAAGATCTCAGGATTTCCAAGCATAACATAACAAACACATTTCAAAATTTTAGGAAAAAAACTTTGCATGACAAATACATGTAAATATAGTACACAAGAGCAACTTTCCCTAACAGAATGATCTGCAGAGTTTTATTTATTCAATTATTGGCTGTTTTAGTGCCAAAGCTTCATTTTAAATACTATTAATAACTTTTAAAGATATTAGCACATAGTTACCAGTCTAACCTTCTGATACAGTTTTTTTAAAAAATTAAGATCAGCATCAGAAGAGTCAACTTCTACAACAATTTCTGCACTAATTGTGAAATCTCTTCAGGGATGCTTAGCAACCTTCCTCTTGAATCTTTGTTATGTATGTAAACAATGTGTTTCTTCTTATGAAAATACTTGTTTCTATTGCTTCCATATTGCTTTTCAATGTTTTTACAACTAATAGTTATTTGCTTTTCCTATCTTCACAGAAAAAACATCACAAATAAGTAAAATGGTTTGCTGTCATACTGTATTTAAAAATCAGCAACATTTATGTTACATTTATAATTTCTGGGGTTTAAGGATGAAAAGTGGTTAGGACCGTATCATACAGCACATATAGGTGGGAGAGAAAATATAAGGTTCTAGATGGTTTCTGATAGTTATGCTTATTTTAGAATTTATATGATACCTTGTGTGTGCTTCTAACTTAAAAAATACATGAATCGGAAATGTCCTTTTTCCCCTTCTCATCCAAGAAGCTTCTTCAGCTCTCCTTCTTCAGAAAAAGAAGCTTCTTGGATGAGAAGCAAAAGAAAACCTTCAAAGAAAAACCAGAAATCCAGTTGCCTCTTGAAAAAAAGCACCTTTGGGTGCGCAGTCCTAACTATGCAGTCTTGTTTGGCTGGCTGTACCAAAATCAGACAGTTATAAAAGTACAAATGACAGATTTAATCACTCCTCTGTAGAATTTCTATCAGCAGCTTCTTGGGCAGGTCTGAAGTTTCTGTGTTGACACAGCAAGAACGTTCTTTTGTTGTGCCTTTTTAATGATGGTTCTAATATTAGGTGTCCATTTCAAATCCGGTGAGAATATAGAACCCTGGATTATAGAAGTCCAGTTGCCTCATGATTTAGGGCAGGGCTCTCCAAACTTGGCAACTTTAAGACTTGTGGACTTCAACTCCCAGAGTTCCTCAGCCAGCAAAGCTGGCTGAGGAACTCTGGGAGTTGAAGTCCACAAGTCTTAAAGTTGCCAAGTTTGGAGCCCTGATTTAGGGCAAAGAATTAATCCCTATTCAACCAAACAACGCCCCGCAATCAATTCAATATTTATTTAAAATCTCCATCTGGTAGAAGTGATCTTCATGAAAAGCAATTCAGATAAACCTGCCGCCATCCCTCCTTAGCAGCCCAACTCTCACCCCGGTCGAGCCCTCTCAGCCTTACCCAAAGCGCTTCCCCCATTGCCTGTTCCAAGTTCTCGCTCTCCACAGCCTGACCGGCTCCGAGTCTGCGCACGAAAGGTCTGCAGTGATCCAGCAACTCGGCCGTCCGTCGGCGCGAAAGGCACTGCACTCGGGGCTCCTGACGCGGCTGGGGAGGACAAGCCGCCGCAGCCGCGGCCGCAGCCGCGGCCGGCGGCAGCGCCTCCATCTCGGCTGCCCGTTTCCCGCTCTCTTTTTTCAAAGCCGTTCTGACTTTCCCGCCCAAACCGGAAGTAGAAGCAAAGGATCCTCATTTAACGCTTTGCCATCCCCCTGACGGTGGAATCCAGAAATAGGTCCGGGTAGAAACAGCAACTGGGACAGCTGCAGTTCCGAGTTGCCAGGATGGGAGCGGTGGATTGTCACTGCCATCTCGCGGCACCCGAATTTCAAAAGGTAAGTGGGTTTGGATAAAAAGGGGGTGGGGATACCAAAATCCTTACTGAAAGCTCTTATTTAGTCACCTTCAACCTTTGCAAAAGAATCGCGAGTTTTCTTCATCTGGAAATATTGTTATTTAAGGGTGTAGGAAGGATTTAGGTTACTGTTTGATATGGCAATGTCTGCCCGAACTTGCCGTGTGACATTTATTTATTTATTCAATTTCTATACCCGCCCATCTCAGTCAATGAATCTGGGCACTTGCAATTCAAAACGAAAATGATTATTAGGTGAAAATATATATATTGGTCCTATCAGGGGGAGAATACACCAAGGATTTCCCCAAAGATTGCAAAGATTTGTGGATCCTCTGGTTATACTATGGAGCAGTGGTGAAATCCAATTTTTTTTTTACTACCGGTTCTGTGGGTATAGCTTGGTGGGTGTAGCTCGGTGGGCGTGGCAGGAGAAGGATACTGCAAAATTTCCATTCCCACCTCACTCCAAGGGAAGGATACTGCAAAATGTCTTTTCCCACCCCATTCTGGGGCCAGCCAGAGGTGGTATTTGCCAGTTCTCCAAACTACTCAAAATTTCCACTATTGGTTATCCAGAACCTGCTGGATTTCACCCCTGCTATGGAGGCATATCTTCCTGACTCTACTTAGGGCTGATAAGACTGCAGAAATCTGAATCACTTCTAAATGGATACAGTGAATAATGAAAGCAACAGAAGAACATGAGCCGAGGTGGCGCAGTGGTTAGGATGCAGTAGTGCAGATACTTCAGCTGACTGCTAGTTCAGCAGATCAGCGGATCAAATCTCATCGGCTCAAGGTTGACTCAGCCTTCCATCCTTCCGAGGTGGGTAAAATGACCCAGATTGTTGGGGGCAATATGCTATTTAGTCTACTGTCTTTGGTGTAAGCTGCCCAGAGTCCTCGGAGGGTGGGCGGCATAGAAATATGACTAATAAATAAATAAGAAGAATCTATAAAAGTTCTGGCCAAACTATGCCAGCGTATCTGGATAAAGACACAGTAGTCAACAGATTGGAAGAGGTCAATCTACATTCCAATACCAAAGAAAAGAGTTTACAGGTAGTCCTCGACTTACAACCACATTTGAGCCCAAAATTTATGTTGCTAAGTGAAACATTTGTTAACATTTGCCCTATTTTACAACTTTTCTTTGCCCAGTTGTTAATTGAATCATTGCATTCGTTAAATTAGTAACATGGTTGTTAAGTGAATCTGGACTCCCCATTGACTTTACTTGTCAAAAGGTCACAAAAGCTGATCACATGACCACAGGACACTGCAACCGTCATAAATATGAACCACTTGCCAAGCATCTGAATGTTAATCATATGACCATGGGGATGCTGCAAAGGTCGTAAGTGTGAAAAACGGTCATAATCACTTTTTTCAGTGCCATTGTAACTTTGAACGGTCACTAAATGAACTGTTGTAAGTTGAGGACTACCTGTATTATGTTTCCTTTTTTCTCCTTTTGGGGGGTGTTTTTACAATATTTATTCTTTTTAATGTATTTTCTGTATTATGCTTTTGTATCTATTTTATCTGTTCGTAATAAAAATCATGGGGGAAAAAAGAAAGAAATGTTAGGCTGCATTACTCTTTATAGGTAGAAAGAAAAGCATGCTGAATTATGGCCAAGGCAAATATGCTATGCTTAAACACAGTGATCTGCCAGCATAATAACATTTTAACTTTTTCCAGGACATTGAAAGTGTATTGGAAGATGCCAAAAAGGTTTGTAATATTTTTTACTTTAATAGTTTCCCTTTATCAAACTCTAGAAAGAATTGATGCAATAAAGTTTCCTGCCTTGGGTAGTGGGTTGGACTTGTTAGGATATGGTTTGAGCCTAACAAGTTATCCAGGCAATATATGTGTTCTGTGACTTTAACATAAATATGTATTGTGTGACTTTAAAGTTTTACTGCTGATTCATTGTAATGCTGAGTCATGCTGTAATTAGATAATCACTGGTTGTAAATGTATTTAAGAAAGGTACTGTAAAGTATTCAGTTGATGATATGCTACCATAGTGTGTGGAGTTGCTATCATTGTGCTATCATCGTTGGATGGATCTGCTACCATTGTGGTTTGTGAACCAGAGTGAGTTTGTTATTCTAACCAACTACTGTTTGTGTGGTAAGAAGAGTTTTTGTATCACTGGACTGATTTAACTGGCAAAGACTTGGATTATTTAAAGACTACGAGATTGTTTTTTCACTATAAAGTAAACTTTTGATAAACCAGTTTGCACATCTCTTATTCATTGCTCTCAGCAACGTTTCTCTGTGCTCTACACTCTGCTGGTTAGTAACACAACAACAATATCCTTAACAGGACTAGAAGACCTTCAACGTTCCTTCCAGCCTTATACTTCTATGATTCTTTCCTGAGAACTCCCAAGTGTCAGAAGGCCTTTTTTGAAAATTGAAAAATGGAGTGCATGGGTGGAAACTGTTTACGGATGACGCAAATTACCAAAATTAGAACTTCTATGGTTTAAGAATGTCTCAGAAAGGAAATGTTTCTCCATCTCCTTTCCTCAGCTGTTTTCTTTTCAGCAGAATGAACCTGCAGATCTATATGCAGGTTTTGTGAGACAGTCAGAATTGCCACAGAAATAATGTGAGATGCAGAACTTTCCTTTTATAAAATTTCTGGCCACAGATTACTTTAGAATCAAGTCATTGTATCATAATTTAAATATGGGAATAATATTTTTGGATAGATTTACTTTGGAACAGTTTTGTGATTTACTGCTTTTAATTCTATCTAATTTATTTCCTGTTTCAGTCTAATGTTTTGGCCCTGGTGGTAGTTGCTGAACATTCTGGAGATTTCACAAAAATTATTCAACTTTCAGAAAGGTACTAATGTTTCCAGTCTGTACTGAATGGGATGAAAATAGTTACAATTTAGGATTTAAAGAATTAACCAGTTAGGTATATCCATTTAACAGGCTTTTGGAATAAACATCTTCATTTGCACTTCTATCGTGCTTCTTTTAGTTTCCAAATTAAATTGAGCTATGCTGTTGTTCAATAAATATTTACGTTCAGAGAAAATGTTAAAAATGTATTGAATATTTGGAGTATTTCTTTTGGAATATTAGATTCACCCACAGTATTTTACAATGAAATTTTAACAACTGGGTGTAATTTGATATAATGTGCAGGAGAACTTCCCAAGAATTCATTTAACATTGGAGACTAGCACTTAGTTGCACTGAGAGATCAATTGGTTTGTTACGGTCCCGAACGCGAAAGACAAGCCTATAAATGGAAAGAGTGCGACCTCTTTTTATAGATTTATGCAAATTGCAGCATACATTTAATCAATAATTGATTGGGATATGGCAATATCTGTGTTAATGAGAAGGTGGGAAAACGAGAATTAATATAGTGGCTTTTTTTGAGTTGTATGAAGGGATCTAAGCCTGTGCATGTTAACAGGTTATCTTTTTCTAGATGTTATCAAATGCTTGTGCTTTCCAGCTATCTCAGTATCTGAGTCCGCATTCCATTTGTATTTTATGGCTCAGCAGGGTCTTCTGGTTGGTTAATCTGGCATTGTGCTTTTTCCTTCATCCATTATTCAATATATACTGTATGGAACTTGAGATACTTTAACTCAGTGGTGTGCTGGAACTGGCTTGCAAGAGCCACCTGTTAAATTTTCTGGAATTTTGTGTGTTGTTTGAGAGTAGAGTTGAGCCACTATGCCTAATGTGCCGATCATCTGTTTTTCAGCTAGCAGTGAGGCACAGCACCAACAATGGAGTTAGCGGAATCAATTCTTAAACATTTATCAATACACTCCTGCCTAGATTGATATTCTTTTGCACAAAACAAGTAAAGTTGCAGTTGTTTTCAGATGGTACTCAGAGAAGGAATACATTGCAAATGTAAGAATTAGGAACAGAAAACTAATTTACTTTCTTTTATTTATTTTGTCTGAAATAAGTATTGATTTATTTAACATTAATTTTAGTGATTCAGTGTAATATGCACCTGACTTAATGCCATGCCTTAACAAATGCTTATGTCTAGGTATCCAGGGTTTATTTTTCCATGCTTGGGCATCCATCCAGTTCAAAGTATTCCAGGTGGATGTGAACGCAGTGTTACTTTAAAGGTGACATAAAATAAAATTACAATTTTACGTTCTATACATTATTAAGTCTATATTGTGTCTTGATTTGTTATATATTTTTCAGTCTTTATTAAACTGTAGTCAGGAGTTCTTTAATCGTACAAATAAAGAATAAAGTTCAGTGAATAAAAACTTGCCTAAGATCACAGAATAAATCCATTTGAGAATGGGACAACTTATTAAAAACAATCACATTTCTAAAATAAGTTTGGTTTAATCGAGTCACTGTATCAGTGAGATGGATGGCAAAAAAATCTAATAAATAAAGTAAGTAAAAACTAAATGCTAGACAAAAAAGAATAAGGCATATATTCATAGCTACCATCACAAAAGACTAAACACATACGGTAAATAAGAATATCTACAGTAGATACGGTACAGACATAAAAGCATATCATTAAAATGCCCCTTATTGATTTATTTAGATCAGTTTTATGAGAGAAGTTTGCCTATTACAAGTCTTGTTGAGAATACTTATTAATGAAAGTTTAGAATTTCAAGTTTAAAAGTACAGTTCTAAGACACTTCTTGTAGAAGCAATGGGGCACATCTTATATCAATATTTTTATAAAGAGAACAAAGGAAGAAGCAATGTTTTCCATTACAAGTATAGTATATGAGTACTCAGGATTTAGATAGGAGTGTCCTATAGTGTGCCAGGAAGAAATCTTTGTGAACTTGGTTGATCCTCACATATATTTGAAAGTAAAATTCAATCTTTATAAGACAAGATACAAGTTAGCTCCAGCTACATTTTGGTTCCATGCACAATACAAAGTTTTAATGTAGATTAAGATATTCAATATAGCAGTGCTTTCAATCTTTAAGAAGTGTGGACTTCTGTTTTTAACTATGCTTTTATAGCACTGTTATTTTTATTTTAAACTGCCCAGAGTCACTTAAGTGAGATGGGCAGTGTAGAAATTTAATAGCTAAATGAATAAATAGAAATCAAGAGAAATATGAAACTAAATGAGCAGAAGCAAACATGTACATTTACTTTAATATTCATTTCATCTTGTTAAATCTTTTTGCAGGATCTAGAAGAAGCATTCCCACTCATTGAGCTGTATCAGGATCATTTGCTGGCAATCGGGGAGGCGAGTAGAATCATCATAACATTTTTATTAGGTCTTTTTCATATATAATTTTTCCTCTGCCAAAAGCAGTGTGTATCACTTAGAATTAAGCCCTAAAGAGTAGAATGAAATTTGCGTCTAGATAAAAGTTTCTAGGACACAATACTGCAACCCAACCTGTAGTGTTTACACATTACACAACTTTAGATTTAATTTTTGCAATACACTTACCTGGAATTAAATCCTATTGAATAAAATGGGCTTATACTAAATGTAAGCGGACTCACACAGAATTCTACAGACAGAATGGAAAGTAATATATCAATGTACAGTATGTCATGACAAAAACATCCCTGTATATTCCTTTGTGTATATAATTGTGTGTGTTTTGGAAACTGTGCAATTGCTAAAATATTTATATCTGTGAAAATACATACTAATTTATATATTTTGAATAGTTCAAATATAGAATCATTTAAAATAAATAAAATGTATGTTACATCCCCATTACATATCTATGTAGTTATCATAAATGAATACATATGGATACGTATGGATTGCAAAGTATTTGCAATATATCTAGGAAATATTTTCCATATAAGGATTTTTTTCCATGTTGGAAATTATCTTTAAACAACAAGCATCTTTTTGTTGCTTTTGATCTCACAGAACAGACATATTTTTTGTGGTAAGCTTCATTAACTATTTACATTCCTGAATAAATGATTAAAGATTGCAAGTGTTCCATAAATAATAATAATTATTTGATAGATGGAGATCCTTCTCTTTCTCCAGGACGACAAATTTCCTCTAGTTTTTTCTCACAATCAAAACTCATCTTGTGTTTTTCCCCCTATAGATTGGTTTGGATTTTACTCCCAGATTTGCCAGCAGTGATGAACAGAAGGAAGGACAACGAGAAGTCTTGATAAAACAAATTCAACTGGCAAAACAACTTGACTTACCTTTGTAGGTCACTTGTTGCAAAAATATAGCTGTTTTTATAAGTTATAGAATTAGAGTCTCTTTGCGATACTTAGTTTCTTTAAATGAACTTATTTTTCTAAAAATCTGATTGCATTTTGCATAGATCCTACGGTTAATTCGTGTACTGTAATTATAATGCAACATATTGCATTATTGTATAATAGTTATATAGTGATTTCAAATGTTTTCAAACATTTTATTATTCTGTTTCATATCCTCCAATTGTAAAATCAACAATTCAACAAGACATCATATGTAAATTTTAGAAAACTTCAGGATGGGAATGATGTTCCATAGGGGCAGTGCCACAGAAGAGAAGGTGCATGCATGTTACATGGGATGGTTTCATGGAAGGGACTCTAAGCACACCCTTCCTTGTTATTGTGAGAACTCTTAGAGTTAGAGAATTCTAGATTTAACTGAACTGACTATGGCACCCATTTCCTATGGCACCGATGTGAAATGGGTGGCTATACAAACAAATTAGATGCTATGATAGAGAATAGACTCATCCCCAAATGTTTATTTTTTAAATATTGTGATATTTATTATAACTTTACTATAATAATTACCCTATACTTAAGTCCTAGTACAAATTAAAGGTAAATTAAAATATCTAGCTGAAATCCAAAAGCTTAGACATGCTGCAATCTCAGTCAGATATAGCTGGTTTATCTGACCCTGAACATCATGCTAGTTTTGCCAAAATCTCTTGCAGAGTTTTTGTTCTTTTTATTTATTCTAGAAATGTTCATTCCCGCTCAGCTGGAAGGCCAACGATTAACCTCTTAAAGGAACAAGGTATCATTTATTTTACTTAATGATTTAAGTTTGTTTAGCTTTCTTGTTAAAATATGTGTGCCCCTGATACGGGATCTCATCTCCATGGGAGTCTAAGTCAACTTTTCTTCTTTAGATGTTATATCAGAAATATGAGGAATATATCCCTAAGTAGTTGCTTACTCATCTGCTTTCACTGCACTTTTCAAAACCATGCTTTATTATCGGAAGAAGCACAGACATTTGAAAATCTGAGGCTGTTACATTTTAGCAAGATTTGAGTATTGGCAGGATTTGTGATGAAATCCAAGGCCCTATTTAGCAGAAGAAACTGGAAGATCCCCAAATCTTGTCACATTTGCCACATTTTGAAATTAATGTGTTTAATTAGGGGCTAGTTTGCCACATTTTGCAACAAATCATGTAGTATATCAGGTGTCAAACTGACGGCCTATGGGCCGGATGCATCACATGCAGGTCACGCCTACCCCAGCTCCACAAAAGGAGAAAATGTGAACCGTCAAGTGACGCAACGTGACACAGCGAATTTGACACCTGTGTAGTATATCTTGCAGACTAAAGTGCTGGAGAGATATAACATCACAGAGCCCAAAGTCTAAAATTTCCTAACTACTCTAATGAATATAATATGTATTCTAAAATTAAACAGCACTTCAATACAGATCATATGATATAAAATATTTTTTGCAAATGGATTTCCCAAATTGAATACTTATTTATTTTTGCCTTCGAATGATTTTTGCAAGAAATTCCTAGACCAGGGGTGTCAAATTTACGGCCCGTGGTCCGGATGCATCACATGCTGGCCACGCCCACCCCCAGTTTAGCAAAAGGAAAAAAGTCCCGATACCTCATGTGATGACAACGTGACGACGTGAGTTTGATACCTCTGTCCTAGACTATTAGAAACAACCGCATTCTTGAATCACATAAACAACATGATAGGAAGTTGTGTGTCTGAATTTCTAGTTTTAGTAGCGCATCCTTCTGTAAGGAATTTAACAATAATTTCTGCCTTTGGATTATTGTCAGACAAGTTAAGCAATCGTGCAGAAAAATATAATATCACTATATGAAAAGGGAATACAGGTGATCTCACTTTACAAGAGGGCATTAAGCTGTTTCTGTTGCATAATATGGGTTTTGAAACTTCCTTGATGTGTATTTGGCTGCATATGTTAGGTTCTGACATTATAATTCTACTGGTAATGTGACTTATTTCCCGGCTATTGGGATCCTCAGGTGCTGAGAAAGTGTTGCTCCATGCATTTGATGGCAAACCAAGTGTAGCAATGGAAGGAGTGAAGGCTGGATATTTTTTCTCTATCCCTCCCTCAATTGCAAGGAGTGAACAGGTAAGGATCAAGGAGCAAAGCCTTGAACAAAAGTTCTTTATTTATGGCATTGTGTAATACAAACCTAAATGCATGTAAGCATACTTATGAACACACTCTAGGACAGGTAAAAAGGTCTAAATCAATCTTGATTCTTGGTCACTACCTAAGCAAGTTCCTAGTTTTCTTGGCAACCGTTTCGGAAGTCACTTGCCATTTCTTTCTTCCTAGGGCTGACTGGGTTGAGAGAGTGACTGGGCCAAAATTATCCAGCTAACCCCATCTCAAAGGTGGGATTAGAACTCATGGTCTGGTCTCTAGCCTGATGTCTTTTACAAATACAGTACATCAAATTAATTGTCAGTTATTAATCAACTGAAGGATTCAGTTCAGTGAAATTGTATAGGTTCTCCTGCTTGAGCAGGGGGCTGGACTAGAAGATCTCCAAGGTCCCATCCAGCTCATTCATTCTATTCTATTCATTGCTTAAACAAAAGAAGCAAGGTTTCTCAATGGATCTTGGACTTTTTCAATTTTTAAAAATCTGAATATACTGAAATAGGGAATAAAAATTGTTTGGACTGTATAAGTATATAAAGACAAAATATTCAGCTTCTGGCAAGGTGCATCTTTCAATTGTTTATATGAAAATTATCAACTGATTAACAGTCTTTTGTTCAAAAGTTTGCCTTTTCAGCTTAAAAGCTATAGATGTTGATTCCTTTCTGTGATTTCCTTTAAGAAGCAGAAACTTGTGAAACAGCTACCTCTAGAAAGCATTTGCTTGGAAACTGACTCACCTGCCCTAGGACCTGAGAAACAGGTGAGGACCCATCAGTGATTCTATCTTGTCAAGTTCAGCAATAATACACACAGTGTAACAGTAGAATTTATTGTATCAATTGAAGTCTGTTAAAATGACAGACTAAATGACTATTAAAAAGACTCCCCAAGTGTAAAGAAAGGGGGAGGTTATCTCAGTGAAATAAACTGCAGGTGTTGTTTGCCCAAAACTGGTGGACCAATGGAGCAGGGGTGAAATGCTCCCGGTTCGGACCGGATTGCCTGATCTGGTAGCAATGGCGGCGGGTGGTTCGGAGAATCGGTAGCAAAAATCCCTGGCCCCCCTCCATGCCCAGCTGAGCCGCACCATCCTCAGAGGCTTTTTTTTTAACTTTTAAAAGCATTTTTTCTACCACCTCTTCCAACAAAAAAATGCTTTTAAAAGAAAAAAAAAGCCTCTGCTGATCAGGCAACACCCAGTCACATTACCCCCCCTACCAAGCCACGCCCACAGAACCGGTAGTAACAAATTTTACATTTCATCCCTGCAATGGAGTGCTTGAGCGTGCCACCTAGTAGGAAATATGGAAATTGTTTCTAGGTTGTGATATTGTCTTTGCACATCTCAAACGCTGAAGTTATACCTGTGCTACTCTGTTACTCGTGTTTGGACCAGAGATACATTCAAGTAATTTGTACTTATTTGCAAGTCTGAACATTGTGTTAGTGGTGCACAGGTTGTGCTTGGCACATTTGCTCAGAAGCAGCAGACTGTTGCAATTTAGTTTTTCCACCGATGTCTTAAGGGAGATCCCTTAAGGGAGGAAGATAAGAAGGAACTAAGTCATTAAGGAAACAAAGGAAAAATGTCATCTGAACGAGACAAAAGAAATTGAGCCTGAGCATGGGGGGAAGCCCCCAGATCTTATCAATAGCAATACCCAGACTTATAAATTAACAAGGCAAGAGTAGCTGGTAGTCTTTCAATCAACAAAGCAAAACAAGCAAAGACTTTGGGAGATAAAAGGGGTCCTGAAGCCTTCCCACTCTTTGGATCCAGACTTGGCAGCTTCGGTCTGAAGAACCAGTTCTGCCTAGTATTTGGTTGAAAGTGTCCTGAGTGTACAAGTAGCTGTTTTCTAGGGCTTTGAGTGTGACTGAGTGACCATAAATCATACTTGTAAGCACTTGTAGCACCCATGATCACTGTCTGTTGCCATTTTAGCACTGAAATTGGCCAAAACGATGAGTTTGTCACTGGTGGGGGGTTGTTTGGACAATCTGGTCCAGGTCCTTGTAGAAAGCTTCCTTGTCTTCACCTGGACTTGTGACAGTTGGTGCATAGGTGCTGACAATGGTGATATACAAGGCTTGCTGAGAGAAAAGCAGAATTTCCTAATCTGTTCATTTATTCCAACTAGCCAGATGTTGTAGGGCAGGCCATGTTTAGGGTACCTTTTCTAATCTCCCTCATGTGAAGGTTGGTAGCATTATTCTAGGAGGGCTGCCCAGTCACCCTGGATGCTGCTGGACATCTCTGCTGTCTTGGTTACAGAAACAAATGATCCAAGAGCTGGTTCAAGGGCCATTCATGTGCAGATTTATGACAGTAACTGCCAGTGATTATATCTACCTGTTCCTTTATCACACCTGCATTACTGCAGGACTCAATCAATTAGGTTTGGACTGAGAAGATTTGCAGATGAGTTGTAAATGAAAAAGAATTGCTCAATAGGAACCTGTTATATAATTTTATAAATGTTTATAAACTTTATAATTTTCTTTATCGAATTTTTAATAAATTTTATAAACTTGTAATTGCATTTCAGGTGAGAAATGAGCCAAAGAATATCTTCATTGCTGCAGAATACATTGCTAAAATAAAAGGAATTTCAGTGGAAGATGTTTTACAAGTAACAACACAGAATTCACTGAAGGTCTTTCCTAAACTGAAAAATTTCCTCAGGATCTAGATGATGTTCTATAGTATCTGACTTTAATTCAGATTATTTAAATATATGAAATTACATCAAATAAATATCTAATAGAAGAGCATATGTGTAGCTCAGAGTTGAACTGTGGAGTCCTTGGTGCTCTTTAAGCTTGGTTGTTTGCTTGCAGATGTTTTATTACCCAACCAGGTAACATCATCAGTACAAGTGAGTGTAGCTTGCTCCCTCTTTATACACAGTAGGTTTCTCTGGAGGCATGATAGCTCAACAGTTAAAAATGCTGAGCTTGTTAGCAGGAAAGCTGACAGCCTGGGTTCAAGACTCAAGTGTCACGCGATGGAGTAAGCTCCTTTTACTTTCCCCAGCTCCTGCCCACCTAGCAGTTTGAAAACATGCAAATGCAAGTAGATACATAGGTACCATTTCTGTAGAAAGGTAACAGCATTCTGTGTGCCTTGGTGTATACTCATGCAGGCCACACATGATCACAGAAATGTCTTTGACAATGCTGCCTCCCATGGCTAAGAAACAGAAAAGAGCACCACCCCCTAGATCAGCAGTTCTCAACCTGGGGATCGCGACCCCTTTGGGGGTCGAATGGCCATTTCACAGGGGTCGACCAAAGCCCTCTCTCGCCCCCCCCCACGCCTTCACTCACCCTCACCCTCACCCTCTGCCTCTGTTGGATTGCCAGTCGCCAGTCGCTTACCCTGCCCACTCCCAATCTATTGCTGAGTCCCAGCTGATGGCTAGAGGGAAAAAAAACTGTTTAAATTCTTGCCGCGGGGCTTCAAAGGGCCGCCCTACAGCTGATCAGTGTTAAAAAAACAAATGAGTACACTGGTGCCTGCAAAAATAGAAAAAAACAGCCCCTTTCAGCTTAAGCATAGGTTAATTACCATAAGTTGATTTGATCAGCGTCCTGACTCTCAGCTGATTTGCTCTCAGCTGTTTTGCAGAGGGCTCTGTTGGTAAAGAGGTAAATTCCTGGAGCAGATTTTTTTTCCCCTAGCTATGCTGAAAAAGCGAAACTGAAAGTAAAGCAGGGTCTTTGCTGCAATGTGACAAAATGAGGCAGAGAGAGATTTCTTTTTCTTTTTCCTCACCAAAAAAGGTAGGTGCAAAACTGCAAACAATGGGAAATTTAGGGCAAAAGAGGAGGTTCAAGATTTTAAAACACAAAAGAAAAAAAGCTCTATTTAACTAGGGAATTGTAATAATTGAGATACTATTAATTGTATATTGTGTTGAAAGCAGAAATGGTTAAGTTGTGGTTTGGAGGAATATATGGGGGAAATTATTTGGTTTATTATTATTGGTAAATATAATTAATTGATTTGTAAGAAATTGGATTGCATGGAAATAATTGGAATATTCATGTTCATATTGATTAATATACAAAAAAGATAGTTATATAACTAATTGATTTATATTAAAATGTTGAATTTGTATTAAACAACTGTATTACATAATTACATAATTAACCAATGTGAGGATGGATATAAAAATAGATGACAATGCGAAGGGGTATAATATAGAATAGAAGGGAAAAATTGAATTTGATTAAGATTAGAGATGAGGATGAAGGGTAATATTGTTTTTTTAAAAAATAGATGAGGAATAAATATGGCAAAAAGAAAATATAGAAATTGTAAATTTAATTGAAATTTAAACACTGTTTAAATTTGTGAACCGGCCAAATACTCTGTTCAAAGAAAATACATTGTATGTTTGTATGTGTGTTTCTAATTATTGCTATTTATTCATATTTGTTCTCTTTTATTCTTTAAAGTTTAACAATTCATTCTTTATCTTAATATCTTTATATTTGTTTGGGGTTGGTTTTCTTCCCTTTCATCTTTTTTATTGTACAGCAATTTTTCTCCTCAAACCTACCACCTCTCTTTTTTCTTTCATTCTTACTTTCTCTTCCCCCCCTCTTCTTCTCCTCCCTACTTCTTCTTCCTTTCTCCTTCTCCTCCTCTCTTCCTCCCTCTCTTACCTTCACTCTTACTCTAATTTTCCTTCCCTTCCTTCATCCCTCTCTATTGCTGTATCCTTTTATGCATATGGACTACTCAGAGGGCTGAAAAAGTTATTTTTGACTGGTGCTCGCACTTTTGACCAGTCCTTGAATTTACGACTGTCCTCACATTTTACGTTTTTTGCCCTATCTTATCACCATTGTGAAGAGAAGCAGTTGTGAAATGACTGACACGGTTGTTAAGAATGCTGCACGGGCATAAATGTGAGGATGGTCATAAGTGTGAGGACCAGTCAAAAGTGCGAGGACCTGTCAGAAATGACTTTTTTCAGCCCTGTGAGTAGTCCCTATACACATAGCCATGGCCACCCGGTCACATGACCAGCTAGCCACACCCACCCAGCCACATGACTTCCAAGCCACACCCACAAAATAAGCCACGCCCATAGAACCGGTAGTAAAAAAATTTAGAACCCACTCCTGGTTGGGGGTCACCACAACATGAGGAACTGTATTAAAGGGTTGTGGCATTAGGAAGGTTGAGAACCACTGCCCTAGATGAAAGACTGGACAGGGAAAACTTTTACCTTTATCTTTAGGTTGCCCTGCCAATTTTGTTGGGGATGTAGTTTTATTCTTGGTAGCTCCTTGATTAGAGTATTGCTTTCTGCTTATGTGCCTGTTGTTAATCCCTGCTTATCTGGATGTTGGCTGCAGGAGAGGATGTCTTCTGCTCTTTTTGTTTCTTTCTTAACTTTTCATTTTGTGTGAATGTGGTTTATCTCTGTGTCTAGGGATTCTTCCAGGAATTTTTTGGATCCAGCTTGGTCTAGGATGCTCAGTTTCCCAATTGAAACTATGGTTAAGTCTGTACATGTGTTGTCAATTGCAACACACATCAATATATTGGTATAGAAGATGCATAATTATCCATGAGACTTAGTAGATCACTAGAATGTATGTGGGAAAAATTGTTGATAGTCTCTCATTGCCATGTTATTAGACCCAAGACTAGGAGATTTTGCTTTTCTATTGCATGTTTTGTGGAATAGCCTTCAGGTTGCTTCAGGTTACTCTGAGCTTCAGGTTGCTCTGATTATACTTAATTGACACAGTGTCACTAGCTGTTAATTGTCATTTGAGTGTTCCTTTAGAGCACTTTTTACATATTCTATAAGAATCTGCCTGATAAATAACAATACTCATGCATCTGACTACATTCAATGTACAAAATCTTTAAGAAGCACTAGTGCTTAAGGGCAAACAAACAAAACACAGTCGGTTTGTCTTTGTATGACAGGCCCAGTCCAGGTGCCCTATCTTTCATGCCCAGTCATGTTTCAGAATACAGATAACCTTTGTGCCATTTATAGTTTGAGAGATTTTGTGCTGACATGTTAAAAGCAGAAATGATTAAGATTGATCTGTGATGCCACAACAGCCAAGGCTCTGAGTTCATTGCTACATATAAACAGTGCTTTGCTTTGTGATCCAGTGCAGATAAAGCATGGAAACAGTATCTTACATAAATAGAAACCTACCAGTTATTCAGACAATAGCATTTTCTTTCTATAAGGAACGTTGTTATTGTTCATACACAGAATTGCAATTTCTCATTTCTAGCCAAAAGCATCAATAATGTAGAAATCTAAATATTTTAGAGGCATGTATTGAACGTATGTGGTACCATGTTTTCTTGTCTCATTTTTAACAAGCCTTTATTATTGTAGTTTAAAAGAGCTTTTAAGGTTTTGAGGTCCAGTAAGGTTTTTGCTTATTTTGGTTGGATCTATGGACTCTCATTTTAAAAGCACAATAATAATCTGGTGGCTATTACAAGTGAAGAATGTTTGTATTTCTGCTATTAAGATTTTCTTGGCTTAAGTATTACACTATTAATCAGGGCACATGCCTTTTGTTTCTCTGCATTCCAAAAAATAATATTTATGGAGATAAAATGTTTTGAGAATGACTGCCTCACATGACATTTTCTTAAACTTGGAGCTATCTTGTTCTCAGGAATTTTTTATTGTTATTTCACCTTGCTTAAACTATGGGCCAACAATGGGAATTATATTTTCACAGAACCTAAACTTCCCTGGCATAATAACCATTCCCTTTCTCCAGGGAACTATAGTTCTGAAAGGAGACTACATGGAAAATAACTTTCAGCAGAACCTTCACCAAATCTTAATAAGCAATCCTAATTGTGGCTCTAGGCTTCATATACCACAGATGTAAATTATGTCCCTCCATATTTTTTTAATCTTCATTTTATCCCTGGAGATGGATCAGTATTTTTAAGATCATTTTCACCTTCCAGAAGAGTGAAGGCACTTAAAGGTAAGATGTAAGAAACAATGACTGTGCCAGTATCTAAGGATAAAAAAAGCTAAGTTTTCAGTGACATATCAAATCATTTCATTAAGACTGAGATGTAGCGGTAAGCATGTAGTGGAATTTATCTGAGAGGCTGGAAACATTTTGCTATCACAACATCAGAACAGTTTTTAAATAAACAGAAGGAACTTTATCTTCAAAGGGCTATTTTTGGCTTGAAAGGAATGAGATTCCTGCCCAGAAAAATCTTTGAACTTGTTTCAATGTAGTTCAAACGTTTTTATCATGGTTAAATGGCATACATACCTCTAAAAAAATACAAGTGTATTTTTTACATTATTCTGAAATATATATTAGTCGAATATTAGCTGTGCTCAGCGAAGACAGACTAAGCTCAAATAAAGTAGGCTTTTGAAAAAATGACATGAACTGGCAAACATTGGGAGAATGGGAGGCAAGAAATGGTGCTTTACTCTGCCTCTCTAGCCTGTCTTCTTTTAGGCACAAGAATGGGTGAGCCTATAAATGGAATGCAAGGTCTGAAGTTCTTCTCCCAGAAACCCTTTGAGTTTTCACACCAACCATGGACCCTACTTTATGGTTTGAGTTAGCAACCTGATAATTTCTGCTGTCATAGATGTATCTACTGGGGATGGGGCAAGGGGAGCTGTGTTTATCCCCCATAACTGGGGTTTGATACACCAGTGCTGCCTTCCACCTGAGGGGCAAATCTGAACGTATTGTTTAAACTGCTCCTGCCCTCTGCTTGTGACAGCTAGACTTTAAACTAATTTCAGACTGAGACACTCAGGACTGAAGGCTACGATGTTCCCCCATTGGACAATTTTCCTGCTGCTCTACCCTCTCTATCAGAAAAACTGTGACATTCTTGCTGGCAGGTCTTAGTGCATGTACATACTTTTCTGTGAAATAAACACACACACACACACATCTATATGAAGTAAAATTCATATAGACAAAGTTGTATGCAAGCACAACAAGCAATTTCAAAATTAAAATAAAATCTTGGTAGCTATTTTGCATTCTAATGACTTTTATATCTTTCATCAGTGCTAAAAAAGCACAATACCCAAAAACTTTATGGAACATAGAGGAGAATAAAACATAGTAAAAATGTAATATTTTTTTTTAAATGCTACCACCCGGCTTCTTTCATTTTATCTCAAATGAATGGAAAAAATTATGTAACTGTAACCAGATTTTTTTAAAAAAAGTTCAGATGTCAAAAATTATTCTGTTCAGGCATGGTAGCAACTAGTGCAGACAACCTTTAAGGAAACGTTGGAAGATTACCATGTGAATAGGCTTTGATAGTGTAACATAATAATACATTAAACTGAGAACTAATCTGTGACTCCAATTTTTTTCTGTATGTTCCAGTAACTTGGGAAAAACCAGCATTATATAACAATACTGCCCAGCCTTATATGATATTATGGGGAATATTGAGAAAATACTTCTGAAACGAAGGACATTTATTTCAGCATACTGTTTTATTTTGTATAATCCATACAAATCCATTTTAAAAATTAACCATAATCGTGTAGCGAAGTTCATTCTCAAGAATGAATATTTGTGTATGTATGTGTACATGTGTACACACAGACAATACAGTTGTTTTTTCTATTAGGCAAAATGCACACAACTTCAGTACTTCAGCAGAAAAACTGCTTCTAATGAGACCTCATCCAAAAATAGCATTGTCTGAAAGATAAAATAAATACAAAGTGAAAAACAGAATCACCTGGTTATATATATAAAAAAATTATCATTAATTAACAATATCTTAGAGCATGTCATGGTAGTTGAAATGTGTATAAGCACAAGTTATACAAGACTTCTGAAACCATCTATAATGTCTGTTTCATATCAGAACAATCCAATTCACTCTGCCAGGGAATGATGTAGTGTTAATGGGACAATGACACACATTTCATTACCTAAATTAGGTAACATCATCAGTGCTAGACTACTTTGTAATGTTAGCAAGAAAACAACCCAGCTCAGAGAGCACCAAGGATCTTCCCCCCATTTCAACCCTGAGTTACAAATATTCTCCTTTATTGGTTCACAGAGACCAACACATATTATTCAAATATATATAGCCACCCCTCTCAGAAGAATATAGATGCAGATTATTTACCATTGATTTGATATCTTTAAATATAAACATTCTAAAAGACATTTCATATAATCAAGACCTTATTTTCAAGAAATCTGGGTACTGTTTTATTCTAATGGGATGAAAGTTCCAGTGTCTCTTTTCTTGCTGTCTTTTGAAAAAAATCATACAAACAATGGTATGACATAGTACCAACAATGATGCATTGGAATATCTGCAAGAAATACTATTTGCCTTTCAGTAGGAAGTGGTGGGACCAAAAATAGACAAAGCAATAGAAGATGATGCTAATGTAATCTGAGACTTTGGAATTCAAACAGGTAAACATCTGCCACATAATTCCTCAAGATTTAGTAATTGTTGATAAGAAAGGCAAAAAAGTTTGGATAGTGGAAGTGGCAGTGCTTGGAGACAGCAGAATAAAGGAGAAAGAACTGGAGAAAATCACAAAATACAGTGATGGTGGCAAAAGAAAGCAAAGATAATACCAATTGTAATAGACATCATGGGTATAATCCCAAAACATCTGGAGTACCACTTGAACAACATTGCAAAATTGCAAAAGGCAAATTTCTTTGAAATGGCTTACATCTTGGAACAATACCTTTAGTACCATCAAACAATACATCTGTTTATTCCAGATCCTTGGGAAGGACTTGATAGGTGGATAAAAATGCCAAATCCAGCCTAAACATCTGGCTACATGCAACTAACTTTAATAATAATGCTTTTGATTTTTACCCCATTTTTCCTTTAAGTATTTTTTTTCCTTCTGTTCTATCACGTCCAATTCTTAGAGACTGCCTGAACAAATCCTTGCAGTTTTCTTGGCAAGATTTTTCAGAAGTGGTTTGCCACTGCCTCCTTCCTAGGGCTGAGAGAAATTGACTGGCCATAGGTTACCCAGTTGGCTTCATGCCCATGGTGGGATTGGAACTCACAGTCTTCCAGTTTCTAGACCACTACACTAAACTAGCTATTACAGTTTTAGAAGCATAGGCAGAATGCGTAAGCAGATTCTCTTTCATTTTCTCTATGATAGCCCTGTGAGATAAGCTGGACTTAGAAGGAGTGGCTGTCTAAAGGTCACCTAATGAATTTCTGACTGTCAGGAGATGTGAACTTGGGTTCCCCAGGTCCTATTCCAGCACTTTAATTACAATGCGCTGAACAACCCTTCAGAGAAAAGAGCAAAGCCTAATTAGAGGATGGTCTTTACTGAGGATTCTTGGCCATTTTACTTGTACATTTTCTGGGCTTCTCCTATATTTCACTGAAACAGTTATGAACATGGATTCCTGAAAACAGATAGGCTTCTGAATGGTCAGGTGATAAGGTTAAATCAAGCCAACAAACTTAATGGATTTCTTGGCTCACAGGATGCTGAACTGAAAGAATCCATGAGGGTAATTCATAAATTCCCATATTCTACTCTAGCATTTATTTCAGGTAAAAAGTCTGAAGTCTTTTTCTAAATGAAATCTTTCTCTGAAAATAACCAAATGGTAAAAATTATTGCAAGGCTATAAAATCACATTTGAACATTTGAAAGTGAAAAGCTACTTCAGCAGGATTTCCTCTGATCATAAAAATGAATTGTGTAATTATGAGCCAAACGAGATAAAATTATGGCTAGAAAAACAAGCACTGGGTTTCTCCATAGTATTCTGAAATAAATTGAATAGGAATAATGTAGTAGCTTATTCTTCTACCATATTATATATTCAACATCAGTATTCGTTTTACAAAAAAGTTGGCGAATAAGACCAAAGAGTTCTCAGTAAAATAGAATACCTGTTTGCCTCATCACAAGATACATTGTCATATTGGGTGACCACTGGAATTAGGCAGCCAATAAATTTATATTAATAAATAAATAAATAATGAAAGCAGAGTGCATGATTATTTCCCCATCACTGAATATTTTGGAGCACATGCTAAAAGCAACAGTAATGATATTGACTAACGCATTGGCAGAATAACATATAATATTGATCCTTTAAAAAATTAATTCTTTTGTCATAGTTTTAATGTGTGAAAATCAGTGTAATATGATTAGACCAGAGGAGCCAGGTTCAAGTCCCAATTCAACCATAGACCTCTCTGAATAATTCTGGATCAATCATTCTCTCCAAGCCTAACCATATCCAAAGGTATGTTACTACAGGGATACAATTAAGGAGCACCCTTATTTAATCTGGCTTGAACTGCTACAAGATGAAGATATAGAAACAATAGTAACATAAAGGAAACAAGAATAACAGCGCCAGCAATCACATATGTCTTATAATCTACAGTAGCTAGTTAAAAAGCATTTCTTCCTGTATTATCAGGACCTATGATGTGCTGAGGAAGCCATTTTGATTATATGTCTAGAAATGGGCACTTAGAGGAGGTGCCAGAGTTTTAAGGCATTCTTGAAAGATGAGGGATTGGGATCATGTGGACCTGAGGAGATAACCACAAGCATGATAGAGAAGGGTGTCTGTTAGATCCTATTAAGATGACACTGATATGGAGAAATCTCTATGTATCATATATTTATATATCCAAATTTATTTATTAAATAATATATAGTTCTCTTCCCAGAGAACATGTTTTCAGACACATTTGCTGGGGCAAAACTGCAGGTAAATGGTAAAGAATGCTAGAATTGCTTATTGATTACAAACCATTTATGTTGCTATTTCTAAGGAAATAGCTGGAGAAGATAATTTGTTCTTATTGTCTCCTTTCAACCAGAGAAACAATAGAAACAATGTATGCTACAAGCATTTGGAGAGGAAGCTTTTAATCATGCAACCAACTTGGAATTTGTTTACAGTACTGCATTAGGTCTAATGTCATCTTTAATCTCCCTGTATTCTCACCATTGCATCTGTTGAGAAGTGTAATTTAAAATGTTTTCTGATTGTTTTTGGAAGGAAAAGGATGTCTACACCTAGAGATCTTAGCCTTTCAGGGAAAGTACCGTATGTGATCTTCAGAAAATGCTTTTCAGAGAGCTGCCTCTAGATACTTACCATATACCTGGGTTTGATTGAATATACTGTACATATAGGTAATCTTTGCTTACCAACTTCCTTGTTTAGCAACAGTTCAAAGTTACATTTGGAAAAAATGGTTTTGCAACCAATCCTTGCATTTATGACCATCACAATGTCCCATGGTTACATAATTGACATTTGCTGTGCTTCATTACCAGCTTCCAAACAAGGAGAGTAAATGTCTATGGAGATCCACAATCATTCAAGTCATGATTGTCCCCAAAGGTGCTTTTTTTCAAGAGGCAACTGGACTTTCTATTTTTTTTCTTTGAAGACATTTCACTAAAGCAAATGAGAAGTGAAATGTCTTCAAAGAAAAAAACAAAGTCCAGTTGCCTCTTGGAAAAAAAAAACACCTTTGGGACAAGCGTAAATGGAGAAACCAGCAGTAAAATTTCAAGTTGTGGTCATGTGATATCTTATTTAATGAGCCATGCTGATTTGCTTAACAACAAAAGCAGAAGGGATGTAAGTACATACATACATACACACACACACACTCAGTACACTAAAATATTTGGACCGATAAAAAATTGGTTTGAGGCAATAGGGTAATGGACCCATCACAACTGAATTACCCCTCTTAATTTTAAGCAGAAATTACAGATGTGTGAAGTTCAGTATTTATTTGAAGTGCAATGTATGCAATCTTACTTTTTTCAGGAAAATGCCTTTTTTCTTTAGGAGGAGGAGTAATTTTTATCCAGGATGTCCTGCCACTGTCAACCTCCTGTTTTTCTTCTTTGTAGTTCTCTACTGAAGCCCGATTACTTTGAGGAAAATGTTTTTTCTGGGGCCTTAGCCAAGAAATTTCACTCCTTCCTTCTAGCAAGCATTTTGATTCCCTCATCTTATTATATTCAAGCAAGCGCTTTTTCACACTTTCAGCCATGATAGTGAAATGTGCTTCTTGTTACCATGAGACAATTTCCTGTTTTTTAAAACAACAATGCATATAATACAAAATATTCAGGCCTTATTTGCTTAACAATTTTTATCACTAAAAACAGGCAAAACTGATCTGTTCTTATAGAGATGAAGCCTGATATATATTGGCTAGAAAATATGATGCAGCTGATCTCAAGGGAGAAAAATATTCATTTCTAATGCGGATAATTCATGTACTAATCTTCCTGAAATCCATTCCTAACAACAGCTAGTTTACAACAATGGCCCTATTGGATGTGGCCAAAACTAGTCCTGCACTGTTTTTCATAATAATAAGGAGGAGATAGAGATATAACCATCTCCCACCACTATCACCTGCAAGTGGTCTTGGATTTTTCAAACCCAACAGCCTTTGTTGATCTGTCCTCCATGTATTTAACCAATTTGCTGTTAAAGCCATCCAATGTTACAGACTACTAGGGTTTTGTGGTAATTATTTCCTCAGTTAATACATTTTGGGGGGAAAGCACTCTTTTAAAGACTGTTTTGAATCTCCCTCTAGTCAGCTTCATTGGATGACCCACCATCATTTTGTGACATAGGAACAGAATTCTCTGTTCATTTTATCCATCATGTGTGGTTTTATTCCTCTCAAGAACTTTCCATCTCAGTGGCTATTTTCTTGTAGGGAAGATATTCAAGTGTTCCAGCTGAATAGGTAATGATTTATCAAATGTATATGGCCACTTATCTCAGAAATGTGACTCTGCATGGTGTACAAAAAACCACTAAAACATTCTTCAAAGACCATTGAAAACAAATTAGACATAAATAGAAACAAGATCAGGAGACAGCAGTTCTAATTCCCAAGATCTAGAAGATCCAGGATATCCATCAACTGAATAGTAGAAGTTTGGTTCTGGAGAAGGCTGCCACAAAAATATTGCTGGATAGGATAATGTAAAATCCTATTCTATCAAAGATACTGCATTAGTCCTCTTAACTCAGCTATTGAAATTCTCTGGCCAGCCAATTCATTTGATTAGAATTGGTCCACATTTCTTCTACCCTATTTATTTTTTGAGCACTTTTTCAAATTCTGCATACATGTACTTGGTCAGCAAGGGCTCTTTGGAATTCTTCAAGGTAGAATGAATCATATATAGTTCATCTGCATAGTTTTTAAATCCATATACCACTCTTTCATCCCTTGCCCCCATTCTGTGATTATGAATATATCCTTCATGTGGGTATCCTGATGGCCCTTTTAAAATCTCTCCTTCCTTCTGGATAGTCTGATGTGATTTCCCATGTTAAGATCTTTCTCCTTCCTTTTGTGTTGTTTTTCCTATATAGTAGATTCTTATTTACATGTCCTGTCCATTAGACAGATATACAATGCTAGGAATAGTAAGTACAACTGTAGCTCTGAAGAATATCAACCAAAAAGTCCATGTTCCAGTTGGTATTTCTAGCTACTTGTAAAATCTCTCCAGAGTTTACTTTTCAGGATAGTCACCTGAGAGTGATAAATCCTGTAATGTTTCTTTAGAGAATGTTAGTAATTTAGGGGGCATGTATCCTGTTTAGAAATTATTATGAAAGGTGTAGACTACCTCTTTTCCTGTCTTGTCAGATAAAGGTTCAGGCATATTTACACAGATGCCTATCAACAATATAATTAACTTTTTCTTTGAAAATTGTTGAAAAAATTGTGAGAGTAATCTAATCTGGAATATATATTATTATAGACCACTGTTTTATTTCTAGAGATATTGACACTTATGAGATTATGAAGATTATCAGCCTCTTGCCTGGAAATGTAAGTCTTAACATTTTTCCTGGTCAAGGAATAAACATGATCTTTTTTTTCCCTCTTGCAAAAGATAATTCACACCACTGTAACTTCCTATATGACCAAATTATAATAAAAGCTGTTTAATAGTCTTTCTTATGCCAACATATTGAAGGATTATAGGGGAATGATCAAACATTAATTTAACATGTAATTGAGTACAGTATGGCATAAATATAAAGTTCAGAGGGGCATTTCTAATACAATGGGTGCAGACCCCTCATCTTCAACCTCAGAAGTTGTGACACACCATTTTAGTTTAGTAGTTTAAAAAGATTTGTAGAATTTTTAAACTCTTCTTTAGTATCTGAGGTTGCCATCTCTTGACCTATAGGCTATTATTTTTCAAAATCACAAAGAAGTTTAAAACACATGGCTTCTGCCCAGATATGCCAGGAAATGTCACTAAGGCCCCCTTTAAGGATGGAAGTATTCAGATTTGCAAGATTCTGTTAACTTCACAATAAAGGTATAACTAGTATACCTGGCTGTGCTTCTTGTTTAGATACCTTGCAAGGCTAACATCAATCTTGCAAGTCTCAAAGTACCTCTCCCTTTCACTCTCCAGAAAACTAGGGACACTTTCATCACCCCTCCTCCTTCAGACTCAAGTTTTGTTAACTGATCATTGTTGGGGGTTCTTCCTCCTGGTCTCTCAAGATCATTTATCATATACCATTGTTGCTTCTGGTTTTATGGGCAACACCAACACATCTTGTTTACTCTAATATCGATTAAAACTACTGATAACTTCAACTGTCAGAAACACTATAATTACTGGTGTCTCCCCTAGCAACTCACCAAGACAAATAGCCATTAATAGCCCCATCCTTCACGAATCTGTCTGTTTTTTTAAAGCTATAAGTGTCTATTATACACTTGGCAGCACTGCATTTAATAGTTTAACCATTTATTTACATTATTTAAATTGTTAAAACTGCTGAAGAACTTTTTATTGGTCTGTATAAGAGTTCAAGCCACTGATCAGTAATTTAACATATTGTACATTGGCTCAGTTGGCTCCCATTATTTGTAGAGTTCTATCCATTGATATTTTTTTTTACTTTCAGACTTTTGTTGTTTAACAAAAGAGGAAGTTTGCTTAGAAATCTTTGAAGAGAGGCTTCATTAGCCTTTTGAAATCCAAATAAACAATGATTCCTTGATCTTTCTAATCGACATGCTCACTGACACGTACCTATGCTTTTTTTTTCACCGAAATGGAAGTTCCCAAGTTTTAATAGATGTTGAGAAACGGCCACTTTTCACTAAGAATCTTAGAAGGTTCCAGAAATGCTTGGCAACCAGCAATTCAAATCATGGATAAACCAGTACACAGGCATCTATTTTAACTGATTGTTGGTAAGTTGAATTATATGTTGCACAATAAAGCAGAGGACCTACGTTATCACAAGACACAAAGACAAGAAACATCAGCAGACAAATGAAATTTAAAAAAAATCAGGGAGATCATTTGCAACTAGTCAAGAAATTAATTTGACCTGGACTCCTGACAATCTCTTTATTCAGCCATGTCCCATGATAGTGCCTTTATCTCATTCTTAGCTCATGGCTGAAAGAAACTTGTCAGTGTTGTTTTAAATAAGTATCCCCACCCAAAACAAAACAAAGCAAAACTGGCAGAAACCCATAGCAGATCAGTTTGTGGAATATTCTCAACTGAATTGCAGGAAAGGGGATCAATCCACTCCTGTTGGCCGCTTCAGGTACACCCTTCTTTACAAGTCCTGAGCCCAATTCTCTATCACCATAGTTGCTTTGCTCCAGATAAGGTGAGCTAACACAACAGCCAGGGGTGGCTACACCCACAGCTCCCTACAGTCTGACAAACAGCTTTTGGTTAGGCTGTGGGAGCTACACAGCAAAGCTTTCCCACTTACCATGCAGGTACCTCAATACTCCCAACAACAGGGAAGGGAAGCTGCTGAGGTTTGGAATAGGCAGCTCTCCTGTTTTATTTTTATCGCTTCTGCTCCATCTTTGTACAATTCCTATTTTGTCTCACAGGGTAACAGGAGAGGTGAGTCAGCATCTGTCAAAACTTGCACATTGTTGCATATTTCTTCTTAATAGTGAATACTGTTCCTGTGGTGATATTTAGGGCAAATACAGCCAAGGAATTTAACCACTAAAGTTTGACTTTACCGTATACACAACATACACAGCAGCTGGTAGGAAAGCAAAATGGAGGAGTTTGCTATAGCTTTGGGATTAACAGATCAGACTGGAACTTTTATTGCTTTTTGCCATGTCAAGAACTGATGGTTAGTACTTTAATGTGATACTGCAAAATGCCTTAAGTAAAGTTAAATTCTTAAGTTAAATTCTTTAACCCAGTAAAAATGTTTCCATACATTAGTGGTGGTCTTTACTAATAGATCATAAGAAATTTACATTGGGTTAATTGATGGCCAATATATATAACTATCATAGCAAAACTATATCTCTTCCACTACTGTAGAAACTCAAAGAATCCCAGTTCTGTACTATTACAAAAATCATACAGAATCATTTTCAGTTTTTTAAAGAAGCAAAAAGAAGTTAAAAAAAAAACATAAAAAATGCTGAAATTGCTGGTTTTCCCAGTGTACTCCGGAATAAAATCTTGAGGACTGCAAAAATTGTGGTTTTGGAGAATTTGCCCAGAAGTGATAATAGTTTGCATATCAGGTCATCAGGATAAAAAGCTATTTAGAACTTTAATTGGGCTCTTTAATGTTTTTTTTAAAAAAATATGCAAGACTGAACCCAATGCCCTTCAAGAGCCAATTATATATATATATAAAAAGCAGGAAACAGTACCATTTAATAATCAGAAAGGAAATAAAATTATATTATTTAAGACTGGCAGGGCAAGGGGCTACATATAAACACTGACAGAAGAGACTGTGTTGTCCTTGGTGCTCTCTGAGCTCAGTCAGTGAACCCCACTCCTTAGCAACCCCACTCCTTAGATGTTACATAGCCAGGTAATGAAACATCTGCAGAAAGCAACCAAACTCGAGAGGAGCACCGTCAATTCCTTCTTTGCCCATTATCTCTACTGAAGACTACAACACTGCTTATCGGCCCCTAAAAATGACTTTCAACCCGATGAGGGTTTTTCTCAACGAAGCATTTCAGCCCAGACCTCTTAATATCTTTCAGACGCTCTTTTGTAGCCTGCCGTCTCCATAAATTGTGATATTCCCTCCCAGTGTCTGCAATACCCTGAGCTGGTTTAGATTGCTAGTAATTGTAGTCCAACAATTTTTCTAGGACAAATCGGGGAAGGTGGAGGCAAAGGAACAGCTGCTTTTACATAAGCCAAGAGAAGCCAACGTAACGTGGATCTCCATCAGTCTTTTCCCCCCAATCCAACTACCCTCCTCTTAATTTTCTAGAAATAGTTTGGGAACCTTTTTTTAAAAAAAATACCAATCCGCCGTCGAAACCTAGGAAGGATGTTACGAATGAGGAGCGCATATATAGTAAGTAAGCTTTTATTGCGGTCAGAGACCAAATTAAAATAGACAAAGAAAGGGAGCATATTTTACAAATATGGATAAGATCATGGGACAGTACATATATATTCTCCTGCCGCCCTCCTCTCCAGACACACCACGAGTGGCGTCTGAGAGACTAGAAGCATGATGCAGCAATCTGTGAAAGGTGAGAGCCGCCCCAAATGACAGCCGGGACCAGCTGCCACGCCAATCTTTCCACGTGGCCGAAAGGGAGGCCTCGGCGAAAGAGACGCACCACAAATCCCAGTTCCCAAATCGAAGCCGGGCAACCTGGGAGCCCTTTCGGCGCAAGACTCAGCCCGGCCTCGTTTCTCCACGATTGGCGGAGCCGCGATAGCGCAAATATCTCTCCGTCTCCTCATTGGCTTAGAACGTCTCCTTTGGAACGTCTCCCGATCGAAGCGGAGACTAAGTGCGCATGCGGAAGCCGGCATTGATTCTTCGGCGCCTGAACTGAGACGCGCTCTTCCTTCAATCTCTCCCCGGAGTCTCTGGGATGAGCCGTTGGCGGGTGGGGGAAGCGAGGCCGGAGCTCAGCCAGTCTTAGTGGTTGGGGGAGGCAGAGATGAGAAGTGAGGGCTGAATGCAAAGCGCGCCGAGGAGAGCAAGCCAAGCATCCCCAGAGCGAAGGCCGGGCGGGAAGCGCTTGGCCAGTATGTGAGGCTGGAAGTGGCTGCGGGCACACCTGCGTGGGGAGGCGGGCGGGAAAGGGGGCGGCGCGTGTAGCGGTTCTGATTGCGGTAGACAAGGGAGGATCCTAGTAGTCGTAGCGGGTCCGCCGGCAGGTAGGCTTGGGCGGGGCGAAAGCCTCAGGTCGGGGAAGGGAGAATGGGCGGCGAGGAAACGGAGATGGCTGGACCCGGGGAAAGCAGCGAGGCCAACGGCGAGGTTGGGGAGGAATCCACGGCGCCTGCCTTCCAGCCCAATGGATACCTGGCCGGCAAAGAGCCGGACAACCGCGGCAGCTGCATGCCTTTGGTGACCGAGAACGATAGGGAGGTTGGAAGAAGCGCCGCTTCCTTTGCTGATCTCGAGAAGTACCCAGAAGCGGAGGCGATGCTGTCTGACTGTACCATAGGGGTGAAGCTGACCCCTCGGCTTTCCAAACGGAGGCTGGTGGTGCTGGCCGTGTTCAGCTGCTATTCGCTAGTAAATGCCTTCCAGTGGATCCAGTACAGTATATTGACCAGTGTCTTCACTCGCTACTATAATGTTTCTTCTTCTGAAATTGACTGGCTCTCCATATCATATATGGTGGCATACGTGCCTCTCATATTTCCGGCCACTTGGTTGCTGGACACGCATGGCCTCCGTCTCACTGCCTTGCTGGGATCTGGGCTAAATTGCTTGGGGGCCTGGATTAAGTGTGCCAGCGTCCAGCCAGATTTCTATCTGATCACTCTGCTGGCTCAGATTGTGTGTTCCGTAGCCCAGGTCTTCATTTTGGGCTTGCCCTCCCGCATTGCTTCTGTTTGGTTTGGACCCAAGGAAGTATCCACTGCTTGTGCTGTAGCTGTTCTGGGCAATCAGGTGAGTGGATAAAGAGGAGAAAGTTTGTGGTAAGAGATGCATGAGATAGGGATGTTGGTGGATAACTTTGGTGAGAAAAAAAATAAATGCATTTGGATTTAAGAAAAAAAATCTAGTTTCCATTCTAAATATTTAGATGAGCACGGATCATGCACAATCTTGTTGGCATTGATGATTGAAGCAATTAACTTGAATAAGCAAGGACATTTACAACTGAATAATTAGCCTTCATATATTTAATCCAAATCCTTGCTAATTAAATTTGTATCTTCTGTCTGATGCTGTGATGTCAGTAGGGCATCAAAATATAAGTTTTCATGTTTCAGTTATAACCTAATAATTACGGAACTAATAATCTAGAAATACAAGCATATTCCAAAGAAAATGTTTTCTGCAAGAGTTCTAAATATAGTTCTGCACCTTAATCCAGAAAAATCACATCATTTAAATATAATAAATTAGAACTTTACTAGCTGTTGACTTCCTGATGAAAAAGCAATGTTTTTCCATTTTCTTTACTTGTGATGGAAACTTTCAGGTTTATGTTGTTATTAATACTGTTTTTAAGGGTATCACCAAGTGTATTGATAGAAATATATTTGGATTTCAAAAAAACCCCCACAACATTCATGCAATCTTTTACCAAACACTCCTGAACAACTATAACGGCCATAGGAATATTAAGAGTATTCAATTTTTCAAGGATTGGTTATTGATTAAAAGATAAAGGAGCAGAGAGAATAGACAATTTCATGTTGAAATTTGCAAATCAGTCTCTGGGATAGTTCAGTGGGGTGGATGCTATAATATTGTGTTCTAGAAATGAATAGAAAGGAAACTGAAATATATAATTGCCAGTATAGAATGATTATTTTATAATGTGTCTGTAAAAAGTATAAAACTGGAAAAAGAGTACCTCAAATGATTAGGGGATTATATCAATTTTTCTGTTACAGCATTTAAAGCTTTTTTTCTTAAAAGCAGAGAAAAAAGGTTTGTAAAGAGGTATAAAACACGTATGATGGATAAAGTTTTCTTCCTCTCAGTATCAGAATGAGTCATTCATTATAAAACAAAAATGCTAAAGAAAGTATATCACCATATAATGCATAATTAGATATGGTGATGGCCACAAATTTAGGTTGTTTTAAGGGGAATTAGACAGGGTGTGGGGGGGAGTTGATCTGTTTATATCTATAATTCTTAATGGCTGCATACTATTCCCAGACGCTTATGTGTGAGAGCTTAAATACAGGCTCTTGAGAAAAACAGTAAATCAAGGCTACTGCCTTACTGTTTGTGATTATGCATTTGAATGTATTTTGGATTGTTGTATGATACCGTGTTGGCTAGATTGACCCTATGCTAGTCTAATAGATTTCCTATGTTTTCAAATTTATTCTAACACAATTTTCTTTTTATTTTAATAGCTAGGCACAGCAATTGGCTTTTTACTGCCTCCAGTTTTAGTTCCAAACACATATGATGACCTGGATCTTATGGGACATAATATCAGCATAATGTTCTATGGCACAGCAGGAATATCTACTTTCCTCTTTTTAATAACAGCGGTTGGTATGTAAAACATTATTTCAGTCTAATACCAACAGCAATAATAATAAATAATTTGTAAAATGAAGTTGAGCGATTATGGAGGAAGAAATCAATGGTTGTACCAACAGTAATAGCCCTTGGAGCAATACCCAAAGGGCTGCCCAGATACATGGAATTTTTTAACTTATTAGACCTGAATATCCTGACTTTGCAAAAAAACCACTCTGCTCTGAACTGCCTATGTCAGGAGTGTCAAACTTGCAGGTTGGATGTGTCACTACTGGCCATGCCCACCCCCGTTTTAGCGAAGGGGAAAAAAAGTCGATAAGTCACATGATGACAACATGATGACACAAGTTTGACACCCCTGGCCTATATACTCAAATGTTACCTTAACAGCTCTTATAGGTCCTTGGTTAGGACTTGAGCTAGTTTTTACTAGTACCAGACTCTGAATCGAATTGAAGATTAACCATAATAATACAAGAATTATATCAATGCATTATAAATAACATTTTGCTTTTTTTCCCCTAGAATTAGCTATAATTACAAATTATAACATACCTATGAGACAATAGTAAGGAAAAGTATAATGGGATGTTTAGGTTAAGAAGCAAACTGAAGGAAAAGTAAAAGAAGAATTACTAGAATTGTACTAAAACATGACTAGAAAAATTATGGAGTTAAGATAAACAATGAAAAATACAATAGTAACCAAGGAGGGATTGCAAAATCTGAGATCCTATGAATATAAGAATTTGCAACACTTGATAAGGAATGAGAAAACCTCAAGCAAAAAAAGGAAAGATTGTATCTGATAGTAATGAAGAAAAAAACCTGATACTAGCTGTGGAAACATAATACGGCATTAATGCTACTTCTAGTCACTGTAGTTCTATCAAGTAGATGTATTGAATAACATAACTATGGTGCAGTTCCTTTACTGAGCTTTGGCAAATTCAGGAGAATGAAGTGACACATTATATTCTCAGGTTTCAAATGATCATTAGAATGCATAGTATGTGAGCAATTGACAATCAAAATTGGAAAAATAAATGACTGTTAAATTCTAGTAAGCAAACTATCTCATAAAAGGTTGGATGCTGCAGCTTCTGACAATGTTATAAAATCTTGTTTGTTTTAAAAGGGTAAGTTCTACTTTCAAGGAGGGGAGTGGTTCAGCACTCTTTGTTGTTTTATCATCATTCTCAAGACGAAGAGGATGACTATACATCAGAGAATTTTAGGAACCCTCAGTTGGGAAGGGAAGCTTTGTGGACAAAGATCCTTTGCTCATTACATATGAAAAAGTTGAATTAGTTCTGTGATACATACAGGTAGTCCTCGACTTATGACCAAATTGAGCCCAAAATTTTAGTTGCTAAGTGAGGCACTTGTTAAGCGAGTTTTGCCCCATTTTATGACTGCTTTCTTTCTATAGTTGTTAAATGAATCACTGCAGTTCATAAGTTAGTAACACAGTTATTAAGTGAATCTGGCTTCCCCATTGACTTTGCTTGTCAGGTCTCAATAAGTGATCACATGACCCCACGACACCGCAACCGTCATAAATATGGATCAGTTGCCAGGCGGCTGAATGTTGATCATATGGCCATGAGGTGCGGCAATAGTCGTAAATGTGAAAAACTGTCATGTCGCTTTTTTCAGTGCCATTGTGACTTTGAACGGTCATTAAACAAACTTGTAAGTCAAGGAATACCTGTACTTCTAACACATTGACTTTCAGGATTTATAGTGACTGAAATCCCAAGTTATCCCAGGATCTGCATTTATGGAAACATACAAACATGCTTCCTTTATTATATTGATAATTTATTACATATGAAGGTGGATGTAAAACTGTTCCATCATGAGAAAATGTTATATACATAATACGTTTTTGTTTTCTCCCTAGTGTTTAAGGAAAAACCCAAATATCCTCCAAGTCAGTCTCAGGCTGTTCTCCTGGATCCATCTCCAAACGATCACTCCTATAAACAATCAATATTCAATTTGTTCAGGAATGTTCCTTTTATTCTTTTGCTGATAAGCTATGGTGAGCATTATTTAACTTATTTAAAGATGTGCATACTAAACATTATATTGTTTTTATAACCTGGCTTTCTTCTTGTACTTTAGAGATTTATTTGCTAAGAGATATTTATTAAATTGATATGCCACCCATCTCCCTATTGAGTTATGTAATTGCTATTATAAATTCTTATATAAAATTTTAAATTATTAATATTCATGTTAGAAACATGAAAATTAAACATTCACATCTAGTTAATTTTGTCATAGAGATATTATTCAATTTAAGCATGTACTGCTTATACATTCTATTTTGAACCTGTATTATTAATATTGTTGAACTTTTTAATTCTGTGGTATAGAGTGTTTAATTGTTCAAAAATAAGGTAATGGGTTTTGAAATACAATGTCTATTTATATTTACTTAAATATTTGTGGCACTAAAAGACAAATGTAACAAAATTACTTCCTCTATTTGTAGCATTTTTCAAGAAACTTCAATAAGTTGTTGAAGTTTCATACCATTCATACTGAGACAGCAGTAGTTTTTGCAGCTTAGAGCATAATGTAAATTCTGAGGTTTGTCCTGATACCTTTGGGCTATTGCTGGTGAAGGAGTAAGTGAGCCATAAGAATGATCCCTAAATGAGCAGTGATGTAGCTGTGTTTATACAATTCTCTCATATGAGGATGGGGAGCTGTCACTATTCTGTATAATTTGGAATATTGTGGTAGACCTGACAAGATCAACAGTCATTCCATACCTCCTCTCTTTTGATCCCATGATTCACAGAACCCCAGCCAAAGATTTATTGAGGAGCTGGTGAGTAATGTGAAACGAGCTGACAAATGTCTTGGGGCATTAGATTCTTGAAACTAATTTCATGTAGCCATAAGGCCATTTGAAGCCTACTTTTTTCAGTGATCCCCCCCCTCCAGATTTTGCCTATGGCAAAAATGATGAATGACATTTAGATTTCACTTCTACTTATTCACAGCCTGTTTGGGTATCTCCCTTTCAATGTGCTGTGCAGTGTTTCTGTTTATGCCTGTCTTGATGGCAAGCAGGAGTTGAGCCTATGCAGGGCAAAAAGATATTCTGGGGTCCCAGGTTTCATTTCATTTTCAGGTAACTCAATTTTCTGAAGGGTAACTTTTTCTGCATTTTATAACTTTGGCTTCATTTATTTTGTGTAATAATGGCAGTACTTTTGATAACTTCATTGTAGGAATTATGACTGGAGCCTTTTACTCAGTGTCAACTCTACTAAACCAAATGATATTAGCTCACTATGAGGTAAGTTCTTACAGAATTTGTTGAATCAAAATCAGTGCTGTCCTTGTTTTGTCATTGCCAGTTCTGATTTGTACAGGAGTTAGCATACAGGATGTGGGAGATCTTTCATTAGGTAAAAGAATAATAGCTTGATATGCTATCTGATTATGGATTATTTTATTTTTACCTAAGATAAAAAGGATGAAATTTATAGACGGAATAAAAGATGGGCTTGTCACTCTGACAATCATGAAAAAATGAGCATTTCATCTTCAGATCTTTGAAAGGACTGTCTAAAAATACTGTAGTTTTGTAGACTTAGGTTGCATCTATTTCATTATTTCTTTATAAATTCTTGTCTTAATCAAAATTGGTAATAGAATAATCTTTGTTTAATATTGGTTTTTTTTTTATAATTGGAAAGCCTACCTATTTACACTATCTGAAAATGGGCTATAAGCTAAAATTATGGCTATGCATATATAGTGTCCACTCCCAGACTGCAACATTTCTTTTACTATTGCTGTACTTTGAATTTACTTACGCTTGGTATTCGCCTACAAAAATGATTTATAAATTTTACTAATTTTTTAATAGATTAACTTTTTTGAAAAAGTGAATTAGAATGAACGTAATTATTCATTTCATAATTATGTGATTTCATGATTATATTACATAAAGGGAGAAGAGATAAATGCAGGTAGGATTGGCCTCACACTTGTGGTAGCTGGAATGGTTGGCTCTATTATTTGTGGCTTATGGCTGGATCATACCAAGACATACAAGTAGGTATATGAATGGGAATAGCAAGTGTTTAAATTCATGTTATGCTGTAGTTACAATATGAAGGCTAATAGAGGTCAAAAGATTGATTACAAAATATATGGAGAGCATAATTCTGTCTTTTGTTAATTAATTAAAAGTGTGCATGTGTGAAGAGAGAATTATGTTTATGAGGGGTCCTTGGTGCGCTCTGAGCTTGCTTGCTTTTTGCAGAGGTTTCATTACCCAAACTAGGTAACATTATTAGTGTTAGTCACTGTCACTGACTAGCACTGATGATGTTACCTAGTTTGGGTAATGAAACCTCTGCAAAAAGCAAGCAAGCTCAGAGAGCACCAAGGACCCCTCACATCAACCCTGAGCTACAAATATTCTCCTTTATTAGAATTATGTTTAACCATTTTTGGAAAGCTTCTGGCTATAGCTCATTTTTTGGTCTTTGGCAAAGGACCAGAATTTCTTGGTTTAGTTCTAATAGAATCTCTGGTTTTATCAAAGCCAGGAACTTTGTGCTAAAGATCATGCCACAGGAAAAATAGAAAAGATGAGAGAAGATTGCTTGACACTCCCATTGATAATGTCAGGGTTATAGACATTTTGCTACGTATACCATTTTAACTAGACTCCTAAAGCATTTTGTGTTTCTTTAAAAACAAGTTATGTGTACAGAAATTTCAAGCTGTTAAGAGTAAGACTGTTTCAGGGGGCAATAGTCTGTGTGTCCTGCAGTCCATATTACATATCTGTACTGCCTGTATTTCTCCAGGTTGTTATAGTTTTATAGTAATAAGCATCTTTTGAGTCTTGAAATCTGAGAAAGCTGTTTTCACAAATTTTAAAATAGATGATAAAGCTCAGATTACATCTAGTTCAATGACTTTTCAAAGTTATTTCAAATTAGGGGTGTGTGATGATAGTCATTGAAGTTGTGGCATTGCAGTGTTCCTATAACTATAATTGTGATTTGGGTGCTTGTTGTCGGTTGGCTTGCATTTATGATGGTTGCAGCGTCCATCACCATTTGTGAGCTTTCCTTCCTGCTTCCCACAAGCAAGATCAATAGGGAAACTGGCAGGAGATCGCAAGTAGTTTTGGGTAAGTTGCTCCTGCTCCTAGTCCCATGGAGCCTCTAGGTGGCAGGGCAAGTGGTACCTGCTCAAACTTGTGCCAGGCTGCAGCATCCCCCTTCCTTATTCGCACTCACACCATGCCACAGTATCTACCTCCCATCTGCACTGCAGCACCTATCCACTGCCTGTCCACATGCCATACAACTCACCGGCCTGCCTGCAAGCTATTTAAGGAAAGGCTTGTTGTGAACTTCCTGCTGGCTCCCCATTGACTTTGCTTGTTGGAAGCCAGTGGGCAGTTGCAAGCTGCGGTCACATGAGGTCCTTGCTTTAACAACCTGCAATCTTCACTTAATGATAGCACAAGGATTGTCAGGATTGGTGCTGCTAAGCAATGAAGTCACACAATATCACACTGTAGGAGCACATCATAAAAGTTTACAATAGAAATTCCAGTCCAAATTACTATGGTAATCCAAGGACTACTTCTACTCTGTTAGGTGGCAAAAGAAGGCAATGACAGATTGCCACTGAAAATGTACATTTTTATTTGTGCTCTTTATTATAAAGTTATAGCAAATATAATTCTTTTTTTTTTCTACAGACAGACCACATTAGTTGTATACATTCTCTCTTTTGTTGGGATGGTCGTATTTACATTCACCTTGAATTGTAGAAACCTTCTAGTTGTATTTGTGACTGGTGGAGTACTTGGGTAAGGCTTTTTGCCATAAAATATACTACAATGTTAATTTAGGAACATTAAATTTATTATATTATATTTTATATTATTTTATTAAAGTGTTAATTTTCTAGTGGAATATATTTCTATCAAAGGTGGATTTTTATAACTGGATTTTCAAATTATTGGAATAAGATAGAAAATCCGTTGTACGTTGCCCTAATAGTAATAAATACTGAAGGACAGTTTTGATACAAATAGTAGGAATTATTGCTAATTTGGCTTTTTATGTCAGTTTCTTTATGACAGGTTATCTGCCCCTTGGTTTTGAATTTGCTGTGGAAATTACATACCCAGAGTCAGAAGGCACTTCATCAGGGCTTTTGAATGCTTCAGCACAGGTAATGAGGAATATTTTACTAGAGTCTTGGAGTTTTGAGTTCAGATAACTTTACCACTTCAGTAATGCTGTTTTCATAAATAGTTTAGTAGCAAAGATTAAGGAAACAGCTTTCAGAAAGCCTTGCACATCATATTAATTATACAGAGCTTTCCTAAAGCTTGCAGCATCTCTATTGAAAGTATTTAGAAAATAGCATATACATTGTAACAATTGCATTACTATGCAAAAAAAATAATAATCACAAAATAATATTTGTCCTTTGCTGAATTTATAGATACTGTGGAAAAATGAATTCATGGCTACCCAGTCCATTCTAACTATCTTTTCTCATATCTCTGTTTATGCTTGGAATTCAAAAGAATACTTTTTTTAGAATAAGCTATTTTCTATTAGAATGGTAGGGTAATTCTGTGGTGGGTCCTCCCCCACAATTGAACAAATTTTCAGGCCATGAGTAGTACACTTTTAACATGATGAGAACACGCTGTTCTTTTCTGAAAGTAATACGTAAACAAAATCCCACTTATGCGGCACAGTAGGAAATAAAACTGGCAGAGTTCAGGGAGCTCAAGGAGAACTGGCAGAGTTAGATTCTGATATATATTCTTATAAATAATTACAGATATTTGGGATCGTCTTTACATTGATCCAAGGGAAGCTTACAACAGTTTACAATCCTCGTGCTGGAAATATTTTTCTCTTTGTGTGGATGTTTATAGGTATCATTTTAACAGGTAACATCTCAAATTATGTTTTTGTTTTTAATAGAAAAATAGTGTATATGAAATCTGTCCAAAGCAGGGGTATCAAACTCAATTTCATTGAGGGTCACATCAGGGCTGTGGTTGACCTTGGGGGGGGCAGGCGTGGTGTGGCCAACTGGGTGGGTGTGGCCAGCTTGATGCTGCTCACCGGGCATGGCTTGGGGGTGGGTGTGGCCAGTTTGATGCTACTCCCCAGACTGTGGGCAAGTTTCCTCTTTGCACTGGGTAGACTGGGCCGAAGCCACGCTGGCCCAATGTTTCCTCTTTGCATTGGGTAGACTGGGCTGAAGCCATGCTGGCCCGATGTTTTCTTGGTAGACTGGGCCAAAGCCATGCTGGCCCAATGTTTCTTCTTCGTACTGGGTAGACTGGGTCAAAGTCACACTTTCCTGATGTTTCCTCTTCGCATTGGGTAGAACAGGCCAAAGCCACACAAACCATCCCCTTACATTTTCCAGGACAGCTCCATGGGCCAGATCCGGCCACATCGCTGGCCGGATCTGGCCTGCAGGCCTTGTATTTGACACCCCTGCTCCAAAGACATGATTTTTCCGGATGCTCATAATATTAGCCTTACCCCAAAAATAAGCTCCAGTTAAGATTGTCAGCCAGATGGACCCATTTTAATACTGTATTTCTCTGAAAATAAGACCTAACCAGAAAATAAGCCCTAATGCATCTTTTGGAGCAAAAATTAATATAATATCCAGTCTTATTTTTGAGGGAACAGAGTAGTTATGATGATTGTAGTGTCTTGGAGTTTTGTGATCACTCTTTGTGACCTTTGAGGCAAAATTAATGGGAAAGCCGAATACAATTAATCATGTTACTAACTTAAGAACCATGTGATTCATTTAAACACTGGCGAACAAGGTGGGCCATATGATGGACATGGCCTCCATGTCTGACACAAGATGGCCTCCAGGGCTGCCACAAGGTCGTAAAATGGGGCAAAATTCACTTAACTGTCTTGCTTAGCAATGGAAATTTTGGTCTCAATTGTGGTCATGTCAACAACTAACTGTGTCTTTGATGAATGTCTTTCATTACTATGTGTGTTCATTTTAACCTGGATTAAAGCCTAAACTGAAAGGTTGATTAGCATGTGGCTCAGTCATAAGATTTTCCTCAATAATTTGTGCATAGTATCTAAGAGAAATCAATATTAGGATCCCTCTTAAGATGTACAGTATTGCAATGGTGGTGAATAACTCAGGTGTAGGATGAGAATAGAGGTTCGTTACCAGGCTAGGTAATCCCCTAAACTCCACTGAAGATGTTACCTTGCCTGGTAATAGAACATTCAGAAACCAACCGACAAGCTCAAAGAACAAACCTCCACCCTCATATATGATATTGTACTTTGATACATTGTGATACATTTTAAGAAATATCTAAATTCAGATATTGCCTGAGGCTCTGAAAATCATTAGAGTTACATTAAATCATTAAAGAGAGTTAAAGAGAGTACAGAGAGTTACTTCTAAGCAGTTTCCTTTATTGTTCCTCACCTACAGACAGAAATCTTGCCCAAATAAAACAACTACTACCTCATTAAAATATACTCTGAACACTTCTAGGGATGAGCTATTTTGATCCTTTCTTCCAACCAAACTTCTGGTATCTAAACTTACTGTCTCTTGGTCTTCTGGAATGCAGCTTTTCCCTTCTGGGAATCCAGACTATATTCCACCACAGATATTTGTAGAATCTGAGGAAATTGTAAATCGTAAGCTCTTATAGTAATTATAGATATAATAGATCCCAAAGGTAATAAATTATATTTATTTAATAGTATAATAGAATATAAAAGCCATATTTCTGCATACTTTCAATAAGCTTTGGTCATGATATTATATATCACCAAGATAGATAGATAGATAGATAGTGAGCTTTCATTGGAAAGAATGAATTAAATTGTATTGAATAAGAATAAAGCAACTTACTCTAATAATTGACTTTAAATTATTTTCTTCCCTGAAGTTAGCAATAATTGAGCTTTCACCAAACTCCAAAAGCATCAGCAGTGGGAGTATCTGGAGTATCTTCTACAAATGGAAAGTTGTGTAGTAGAATGAGTTCTCAAAAAATGTTTTTATTTAGTTGTTCAATCAGTTTGAATACTTATCTGCATCAGTTCTACTTTCATTGCACTACAATGACTGCTGTTCAGTCCCCATGTTATCTTGATAGCATCACTCCACCCATCACAAAAATATCCTCTCCCTGATCTAGATTTGCACTTTTGATTAATGTTTTAGTATTTACTCATATAACTATTTCTCAATTCAGAAATACCTGAAAAACATTGCAATAAAGCAAGTATTAGATATTCTGCAGAAAACTGCTGACATTAGTGTGTTGGTATCTGTAAGACAATTAACAAAGCCAAACTTAAAAAATTCACCAGAGTGAAATGTATTTGAATTGATATTTAATACTATCTCTTTTTTTTTTTAGCTTTAATTAAATCTGATTTGCGAAGGCACAATATAAATTCAGGCATTGTAACTGTGGACATTAAATCTGTAAGTAATTTTAATCTTTAAATTTATTGTGATATGTTAACTCACTCTCGTTATATTGTCAGTTCTTTTGAGTAAATTTCAGAAAAGATTTTTTGTGAAGTTTACATTTTTTTTATTAGATGTTTCAAAACCCAATGTATTATTTGCTGTTTCTGAAGAATCTTCCAGTTTGTCCAATTTTTTCCCAAATCTGTCTGCAGCATATGAGGAAGAGGGACCACAGAGAAATTGAAATCATGCAGAATAATAAAACTCTATAGAAAGCACTCTCTTCCATCTGCATTGGAGCTTAACAAATATTCCATTTCCTCCTGGAAATTCAGTAGCTATCATGTTGCATATTTTAAAATGACATAAACTGCATTGTAATATTTCCTGAAGTTATTACCTATTCTTTCATTTCTATGTACATATTTAAATTGCAATTATATAAGTAATTATCAGTGGATTATGTTCCATAGACAAGGGCTCTAACCCACTAATAACTCATTTTCTATAATTATATATATTGAAGTACATAGTAGTCCCCAAAACCAATAATTATTAGGTTGTTTAGTCTAATATACAAAACAGTTGCAAGTAATATGATACATTTATGGAAGGTAAATGCTCATTTCTGTATCAAATGAATGTGTATTCATCATTTGTGTATGAATATTAGGTATAATATGCTAATATTTAAATGTATGGTAAAACATGACTTGGAGGTTTCTCAATATAGATGACAATATGACACATTTGTATTTAATACACATTCCTATCAATTGAACTTTTTACTAATTAATGTTGGTTCACCTCATTTTCCAAAGGATTTGGACAAAACATAGTATAGTGGTACCTTGGTACTTAACTCCTTTGAAACTCGTCGAACTTGGCACTCAATGCATTTTGACATGAAAATTTTATCCCAGACTTCTCATTTGTTACTTGACATGCAAGCTAGAACTTGTCGTTGGCTGCCTTGTGACTAACACATTATTCCTTATGGGTAAAATTTGTTTGGTACTTGTTATTTTTGGTACTGGTCGCATCCTCCCCAAAACAATTAACAATGAGTACCGAGGTACCACTCTATACATTTCCATTTTTTTGAATGTTTCATTGGAATTTAGGGATCTTTTTTTTTTTACTCTGATAATATTCCATGTTAGCTTCTCACTAAATCTGTTTTTTAAATCTCCTCATATGTTCTGAATTGCCTTTTATTTCTTTGACAGATACCCACTGACAGTCCTATTGGAGATGAACAAAACAAAACATCAAAAAACCAGTCAGAATCAAAAATGAAAAATGAAAAAACACTAGACACACAATTGGCAGCTCTGATTCTATTAAAAGAATCTTAATAGAGAATCACAAGAACTATAAGCCTAAAAATTGTGCTGAATGGCAGCAGTTAGCAGTGATTGTATACTAGATAAAGGAAAGATTTGTATACACTTAATGAACACATTTTAACTTTAAAATGGTAATTTTCAACAATTGTTTTAAGTTTCAGCCATAAAATTCCCAGGAAATCTTCCATTTCTTATTTGGAAATTGTGCACTTTCATAAAATATATTATGCTATAAATGATAAATTAGAATCTCTTTTATCAAAATCTGTGCCACTAGCTACCCTATTTTCCCCAAAATAAGACATCCCCTGATAATAAGCCCAATCGGGCTTTTGAGTGCATGGCAATAAGACCAAGCACTTATTTCAGGATTCAAAAAAATATAAGACAGGGTCTTATTTTCGGGGAAACATGGTAATCCACATTTGGAATTCTCATATAGAATGTGTGCAGTGAGCAGTTTGAAATCAATGAAATATGTGTTTTAACTTGTTTTTATTTGAAATACTCAAAACTGCCCTTCCTATAGGAGGGCATTGTCTTTAGCACAATAGACAGTATAAGAAATTCATTTTTTTTGGATGTGATATACTGTAAATCCTGGATTTTGCCATTTTTTTGGCTTTGAAAGAATTGTGGCTTACGAAATCTCTTTGTTTTGAAACACAAATGAGTGAATGGTAAAGCCCCAATTTCCAAGAAGTATTTTATATTCTAAGTTATTGAAGGTGAAGGCCTTCTGAATTTTTGATCACAGAACTAGATATTCATGATTCCTGGATTTTTTTTTACATTCTGAAAATGAACATACATCTTTTTGTATTATGTGAATCACAAAGTATTGCCAGATCATACAAAGGCATATGCATGTCATTGTGTTCTTTGCATCAATTTTGTGAATTTGTGAAAAGTAAATGAAGATAATTTCTGGCAAATAAAATATAATAAAATAAGGTAGAGCTCACAATGGACTCCCTACTATTTCATTAGTTAGGAATATGTGTAGATTTAAAATAACTCTACTGCTTAACAAAAAATGGATTTACATGATAGGGAAAATTGCCAGTGAGTGTTTTCAGTCTATCAGTTTGACAGAAGTATGACAATATTTTGTGTACATTTAAGAAGAATTACCATATGTTAAATGTTCACAACATGTCCTTTGGGTTATCTGGAAGTAAATCAAGATAAATCTTTAGATCTTTTTCACCTTTAGAAGAAGGGTGAAAGTGAATGACTTGCTGCTTTGCTGAGTCCACTGGTCCTGATGTTCTTGTTTTACAAATGAGTAAGCATGGTAATAATAAGTCTTCATTTTCACATGAGGAATAATTGTTGCTTCAAGACTAACATAGTATATGTACGTCTGTGCCTAATAATTTATAAGGAAAAGCCTAATCAAATCACATTTCTATCCCAGATATCAGAAAAAAACCTAAATCTATCCTCTTTTTCTTTCTTTAAAATTTATAGGATGTAAAAGTACTTAAATTTCGCAAGATCATACCAATATTTGCAACAATCAGTATCAAAATGGCCAACATATGGTGGCATTAGAAGTATTTACTGAAATAATGGTGGCATTGGAAGTATTTACTGTTCTTTTCTGCATTCTTCTTTAGTGAGACAAATGGAACAATTATCCCAAACTCCTAAATAACTATTCTGTTGTTCAGCAATGTGCTTTTTTTTATCTTGTTGAATGTTGTATTTAAAGATAACCTTATTTTAGGTATTGAACAAATGAATTGTATGAAGAGTAGATTTATATAATTTATTAGAACAGTTCAGTGGTTGTTTGGTGGCTAACTAGCTTGCTTGCTTATTTATTTATAATCACATTTCTGTGATATGAACTCCAGCCACTCAGCTGGACAGCTTAATATACACAAACAGCAAAATAAAACAAAACTGCGAAGATAGCATCATTTGGAGGGAATATCAAGCAACTCTCTCCCCCATCAGCAGAGATGGCCCTCAAAAATCATCCTAACCCAAGGCATAGGAAAACCTTTACTTTTTAACACAGTAAAACACTCAAGGGCTAATATTGTTAAAACTGCTGTGCTGTGCTAAGTAAGAGTTGATGAGCAATACATCTGCCCTGCTTTGCCTCATCTAGGTGGCTTCACAGTGCATTTAAAAGTCCACAGAGCTGATGGAACTGACTGCCTCCAGTAAGATTGTCATGGTCTGCCTGACACTTATGCCAATGACATGGTTCAGCAATTCAGTTCAAGAGGAATTGTAGCAAAGATGTTTGTGGATGAGAAATTGCATGCTGGCAATTCGCATTGGGGACTGTAGACTGACATGAACATAATTTGACAGTATTAATGATTCAGGTGCTACAAAGCAAAATTCTCAAAATGTCAGTACTAACCCCAGTCAGTGGATTCCTTGAATAGCCATCAAGTTATTTTCAACTCTTAGCAACCACAGATAATTATTTTTCATAACGATCTGTCCCTAATCTGATTTTCAACACTGTTATTGTCACAAAGTCGTCCTATCATGCGTGCCTGGTCATCTCTCTCCTCTTTCCTTGTCTTTATATAATGTATTTGAGGTAGAATAATTTGATTTTGGTCATTTTTGCCTTGACTGAGAACTTGGGCTTGATTTGTTTGATGGTCCATTAATTTGGGTTTTTGGCAGTCCCCACAATTCACAGAAATCTTCTACAATACCAATGTTCAAAAGCATCAATACTCATTAGATTTTTAAAATCCCATTTTTATTACTTTATAAGTAACTCAAGGTAGCAAATATACATAATATTCCTTTCTCCTATTTTTCCACAGCAACCTTCTGAGGTAGGTTGTACTGAAAAGGAGTGACTGGCCCAATATCATCTAGCCAGCTTTCATGCCCAAAGCAGGACATGAACTGTAGAATCCTGGATTGTAGGCCAGCATCTTAACTACTACGCCAAACTGGCTCTCTTCCTATCCTTCAAAATCTAACTTTCATATCCATAGTGTCACAGGAAATATCACAGCACAATTTTAAATACCTGAAGGTATAGAGACATTATGGCATTTGAATGTTTTTTTAAAGCCTTCATGGCTGCTCTACCAAGTCCTAGTCTCCAATGTATTTGACTGCTTGTTCCTTTATGTTGTTTAATCCTAAAAGGGAGAAGCTAACCGCTGTTGTCTCCAAACTCAGGCACCCTGAGTTTGGCATGGAACTGATAAGAACTTGATCCCTGAATTTTAAAATTGCAAAGACAATTTTATCTTTGCAAAAGGGCTTCTTTGTCCACCTGAAAATATGCATCACCAAGTAATTTGGGCAAAGCAAAAATCATTAAGGGGTGAGTCAAATAATTTTTTAGGGTACAAAAACAATAGATAGATTTGGTATATGTGATATGTTAGAGAGCAAGTGACCAAACAAAAGACATTGATTACATGTGAGTCTCGAAAAATAGAAAACATTGATTCTAGAAGACATTCCATAAGTGACAGATTTATGGTTTACATTACTCTTTCCCAGCTGGGTTTGTATTTTTGTTAAAGCTTGCAAGTGTATTCAAGGACTTTCAGAATATGCTATCTATTGTGTAGCTGCTGAAAAAACAAGTTCTCACATACCAAAGAAATGGCCTTCGCTAAGAACATGTTTTCTTCAAGTTTTTAAAAAAAAAACCCTAGACTGTCATGCTAAAAATACTAATATCACCTTTGAAAATGCTAACAATGAAGTCTAAAATCTGAAGCAACACCACCACTTTGATATTTTCACTGCAGTTCTAAGGCTGATAATTCTACTTATTGTCATTAATTTGATGATCTTTATATGTAATTCTAATCTCATAGTTTTCACTTTTACAATATATATATTGACATCTAAAAAATTCTTATTCTGCACTTCTTACAAGAAATGGCATATAGGTAATGCTGTGCTGAAATCTGCTTACAATTGCTTAAAAGTTTTCTTGCCCTAAAGAAGAGAGTTTCTTGTTAGAGATATCTCAGAGTGCTAATAGGAGTAGATAAACTGCTTATGATGAGAAGAGGTCAATCTTTCAACTTAGTTGATGTTTCCCAGTGGGAGAGACAGTTGGGAATGTTGCCAGATATTCCATGAGCTGGAGTAAACTTTTACTTTTTAATGGCTGGCTTTTTCTGTTCTTTCCGTAATAATACAAATTTTGTATTCATTTACATCTAGCAAATTCTTCCCCTTTTTCTTAGTGTGAAGCCTCTGGCCCAAAGCTCATTTGTGCATGAAGACCATGGTGAATTACAAACATGTAAATAGCTGAATGTCTAGATCGTTCCTGCCAACAAGTTGGTATCGTAGTTAGCTGTACATAAACAGCATTATGGGAAATTAAGTGTATTTAGAGATTGGGCTACACACTTGTTACTAATCAATTTTATCTTCATACACAGATGTCTTCCCTTTGTTAAAGCTGAACATATTCTGGGACTGAAATATAACACTGAAAAGATTTTTTTTTGTGAAAAAGAACACCAGTTCAAGTTATGCTTGGAATGTTAGGACTTCTGTGAGCTACAGGTGAAAGGATTAGTGCACTTAACATTACCAAAAATATGTCTACTAAAAAAGCTGAGCATGACAGGATTTACTATTGGTGCTTTAAAAAGAACAAGTTCTAATAGCCCCACCCAGCTATTCCATCTTTCCTTCTTATGGATTTAAATTGGCTAGAAAACAGAAACAAAAGAAGATACTGTACAGTAAAACTAGAGCTATAACTACTGTATATAATTCTTTCTCGCTCTACACACACATGCACACTGTGGATAAAATGTCTACACAACCTGTTAAAATGCTAGGTTTTTGAGACATTAAAAAAAATCAGACCAAGATAAATCACTTGATTTTTTCCCTCCTTTAATATAACACATAAACTGCAAGATTAAATTGAAAAACAAACTGAAAATGTTTGTTTAGGGTAATTGTTATTGGGCCATTTTTGTTGAAAGGTGAAATTCCTCTTAATCTTTAGCATTTTAGGAGACGCCTGAAGGTTTTGTGCCAAAATTGACTGATACTTGGAACTATTCCCAATTGCCTCCACCTTGACTAAAGCCCCAGTTCTAGCTAAAGAAAAGCAGCCCCAAAGTATAATGCTACTGCCACCATGCTTCATTGTGGGTATGGTGTACCTTTGGTGATGTGCACTGTTATTTTTGTGCCAAACATACTTTTATGGCCCAAAAGTTCAACCTTGGTCTCATCAGACCATAAGACATTTTCCAACATGTCTTTGTTGATGTAGGCTTTTACAAAATGTAGCTGGCCTTCGATGTTCTTTGTAAAAAAAGACTTGTCTTGCCATCCTGCTCTGCAGTCCAGGTGTATTCCTGTAGTTCTCCTTTAATGTTGCTGTAGGACCCTTGGTAGCCTCTCAGACCAGTTTTGTTCTTGTTTTTTCATCAATTTTGGATGGACATCCAGTTCTTCATAATGTCACTGTTGTGCCATATCTTCCCCACTTGTTGATGACTGTATTGACTGTTTCAAGGGTATATCCAATGCCTTGGAATTTTTTTTTTTGTACTTTTTTCCTAACCGATACCTTCCAACAATGAGATTCCTTTGATGCTTTGTAAGACCATGCCTTCGATGCAGGGGTGGTTTCTACTTACCTTTACTTCCGATTTGCAATGGGGTCGTGCGTGAGCTTGCTTTGCTCACGTGCACGCTCTTCTGCGCATGTGCAGAAGCGTTCTGAAGACATCGGAGTCAGTGGGCGGAGCCTCCCGCTGGTTTTACTACTGGTTCTATAGAACCAGTGTGAACCGGGGGCAACCCACCACTGCTTCGATGCCCTTTGCAAATTATGGCTTTTGCTGAATAGAAAATCCTACTAAAATAGCTGAACTTTATGTGAGCTTGATCAGTCAGTTTAATTGATGGCAGGTGAATACTGCTACTACTTAACATAAGTTTGGATGTGATTGGTTAATTCTGAA